CTTACGGAAGATTGTAAACTTGTCAAAAGAACACACGCTTATTATAAGTCAAAACTACTTTTTGGCATTTTCACCTCCATGAAGCAGATGTGCAAACACTCCGAGAAACGAAAAACCGTTTGCAGTCGATGTCAGACGTCAACGTTACGTAATGGAAAGAATGCCGAAAAGAAGATAAGCACGTACGACGTGGGAGAAACCGAGATATTTATTCTTTCTTTATGTCAAACGGACAACGTCTCCCAGAAAGCTTCCTGTCTGGTAGAGCTGTTATCTGCGCCAAAAAAACCCGTTCCTTTTTTGGGGCTACAAAAAGCAAAGCAACGCTACTATCACTCATCATCACAGAATCAGTGTTCTATCAGAGGGACCCTGTCAGGACGCTTCAACCTCTCTTTTTTCTTTACCTACTGGAGTCTTTGTTCTTCGTCGGGTGTAATGGATCTGCCTTATCCAAGCCGTTCCATTTTTCAAAATATAGCGGGTTTGCTGCCTTTCAATGTTAGAGTGGCGCGGATTACAAAACTAAATAGCGATTCGGTTGAAAACTTCACCGTAAAATTTTTAAGCCGCCTGTTTCACTGTTATGATTCCTCCAATAATGCCAAATTAGGTTTTATCAAATATACATACCAAGGCAGACGATTACTGATCTGTCCCTCTGTAATACTTTCTACAGTCCAACTAAACAATAGTCGTTCGGTTCGGTATTTTTTAATTATTAAATTCGTTGCGGAGATACCTATCTACCATATCCAATTCAATAGAAGAAACGTTTTCTCTTAAAAGATATGGTGCAATTGGGGTAGTTTTGTTCGCGAGTTACACGCCAGGCGAAAGAATGTTTTGCAGTATCGGCGTACGCTGCCTCGAATGCCTGAACTAGAAAACTCATCTTTAAATTAGTTCTAGGAGCTGCCCTAAGTTAATTCAACTTATTTTTTCGTAGAGCCCCGTAACGCTAGAGGCAATGATTTAACCTTGGGGAATTCTGCATCTTTGAGAAACACGGTTTTCTTCAGAACAGTGTCTAAACACAATACATTCATTTCAGCGCAGCTAAAGTCAGTGAAGTTTAAGTTTTATAGACTAAGCCTGAACTCTATAGAACTTTGGAGAAACTGGTTGTTTTGTCAAACAAAAACTTGCCGATTTTGGGAACGAATCATTATTAGATAAGACCGGCACCATGCGACCGCCTCGAAGTCAATTCCTAAAGGTGCTTTTGAAAAACAACCCAACGATCAACTCTGTTGTATGTGAAGAATCGAAATAGGCTAAATACAGAAATGCAACGCGATTTGGTGCAGGATGGATGTCCTGGGGGTGTGTGTAGAATCGAGGCGTCATTTAACTGGAACCCAATAGTATTACGATCGATGAACCTATTAATGACATTGAAATAATGCGTAGAGAGAGCTAAGGCAGTTGATTCAGTTAATGATAATATTGAAAAACGTATGATTCAGCTAACGAACAGGGCGGCAATAGCGATAGGCTTTTGCCAGTTCACGGGGCCGAAAAAGATGATGACCACATCGTAATAGCCTTAGTGAGATTCAAATTCTGCACATTAAATATATTGACAGTTATCATTCGTTGAACTCTCTAGTGGTAAAATTTGACAGGCTAAGGGCTATACATCGATGCTCGTAGTCATGCCAAATCAATATCGGTGAGGACAGAATTCGGGATAGTAGCGTTTAGGAGTTGTGGTGTTTGCTATTATTCTGAGAAGCCATTGATTATGTAAAATTATATAAATTGGTTTCCGTTTAGCATCCAGTTAGGGAAAAATATACACCGATTCAAGAATAACAGGTATTCAAATAACACATAGCGTCTATAGCGATTATATCCAACTCTAAAAACGTTGTGCACTAAATTCAGATTTCACCAAAATTACGACGACCTCAGCAGCGCGATTAAATCTATTTTCACGAAAAAATATATCGGCAAATGCACATTCATCGTAAGCTAGATATGGGGTCTGCGGTGTGACGAAGAAATACTTGATAAAGAAAGAAAATTGTCGTAGACATACTTCTGTGATGAATTATTCACACGAAATGTAAGTCTTTAGACGATTCTACACATTTTCAGTGTGAGCGTTTGTCAACGTGTCTTTTCAAATTGAAGAAGTATTGGTTGAACGAACGCGCAGATACACATTTTCCCGACCTTTACGGAAATATGTACTTCGTATGGAAATGCACCTGAAACGCATAGAATGTATCGCCGGGATTGATCATTGCTAGGGAACCGGAGATCTTCTCGGACCTTTGCTTCTCACTTTCTCCCACAAGCGATTATTTGTCCGCCAGCTGAAATTGCCTCTTATTGCACCCCTCACAAGGCCATTGTTCACTTGGCCGTCGCGCCAGCTACGGCACGCTGTAGTCCATCGTCTTGCTTCCTGTGAATTGTAGATCTTCCTATATTGTGGGGTATCCTTGTCATTTCCGACGGGAAAGCCTTTTTGGACTCACCAGGGGACCCTCGCCATGGCCTGTAAAAGGCGCTAAATTGCACTAATGACATTTGTCGTAGAGGGAAACCTCGTAAAGGTTTTGCAGACAGGGCTTCACCGTATCGGCCAGAATCGGTTGGCCGGCCTTAAATTTAAGCAGTACACAAGTAAATTTAACCAAAATAGCGATATATATTTTTGAAGGCATTGGAAGTATTTGCCAGATATCGGTTTACTGTTTAGTCCTGTTGAGTTTCTAGAGTTCTAACTCTAGGAATTAGGCCCAAATGTCTTTTCTCACGCCTCATAAAAATCTGTCGCAAATATGAAGTGTCATATTGAGTTAGTACAACCTAAATACACAAGAAGCGTCGATTACAAACGGAATGATTTGGGGTACTTACCCCCTAAACTCTTTCGATCTGAATCGTTAGAGGCTTGTGGGTTGTAACAAACCAAGCTCAATGAAATGAGCCAGCCTTCGTGCTTCTACTTTCATCTATCCCTTTTCACGACAAGCTACCTTTTCTTTCTTTTGTGCTAGAGAGCGGTATAGTCAAAAAGGGGAACCGATGATTTACAACAGGTTTCTAGCGAGACGGGAAAAAGGCTGAATTTTTTGACCAACAGTGAACCTTTAGCCAATATCTGACACTTTTTTTCAGTAAACTATCTGCATAAATCTATTTTGGGAGGAACACTGCAGGCTAACGCTATGTTTTTGAGGGTCTCAAACGGTCGAGCAAACCCGGGTGACCAGCTGCGCACTTGAAGGTCAAATCGAAGGTACTCTTCCCTTAGACCGGTCAATACGCGTCCTCATTTGAACTATCCAGGCGTTCTGGCGCGTTTTTACCTTTCACGTATTCTCCTGAAGGAGACTTTTTTCACAGACTACGTACAACAAACCGTATATGAATGTTGCTTCGGGATTCTCAGTGCATCGCACATAATTGAATCCTCTAAACTAGAACTGTGCTCATGTTTAACAAGCCATTATATTTTGATAAAGAACGTTATAATATCGCTTATCGTTCACACTGATAGTATGCAAAGAGTTAGTTAGTTCCAACAACACTATGGAGATCTTACATCGTACATGTTTGTCAAGCACACTTATTAAGTAAAGAGCTGTAATAGCTGCAAGACTTGAACGTTATAATAAACGAGTTTAACTTTGGCTAGGATTGTACTCCTTGTTAACGCTACGTACTTTTTCGAAATCGACGCGAAGTTGCCCAAAATGAACGTACACTGGGCTACTGGTGTGTGGACGTGTAGTTTTGGTTATTTCGACTACTCAACGAAGTCTTTCAATAAACGTATCTTGAATTTATCATTTGATTTGTGTCGGTTATCTATAGTGACTCATGCGAATGTACTATCATTTTATATATCTAAAATGTTATGGTTAGCTTGTTCGAATGTGTTAAACGATGAAATTTTCAATGTCTCTTCAGTGGCCCCGGTGGCCAAACTTTTCCAGTCTGTACGTCCTGTTAAGCCTGTGTTGTACGACTTCAGCGGTTCATTTATGAGCCTGCCATACGTCGGTAAGAACCCCTTTCCGACGAACCGTGAGACGTAAGCGTATATTTTCTTCTGGAAACATCAGCTAGATAAATCGATTAGGTAAAGCCGTCGGTCGAAAAAGGTGTTACCTCTCTGTTTGACAGCCCAAGAAAACTAAATATACCGCTACATGATCGAAGTCTCTCAGTGTGTCGTTGCCGAACAAGATGAACCGGAATTTAGCTTGCGTGAATAACATTCGCGGGAATTATCTTCTAATTGCAGAGCAGGACAGACACACGTGAGAGTACGTATAGTAGCCATTTCACAATAAGCGATCAAAGTACCTTATACGAATGCCATCTTCGTTCTCTTTACTGGCGAAAAACGTCAGCTTTATTTCCATTGTCCATCTAAGTGTATTCACGCAAATACCAAATTTGCTTCTCAACGCCTCAGCCCACTTCCGGTGTATAAGAATCGACCGACTCCAGACATTCCACAAGTACTCTTTAAAAGTCTTATTGTATGGTATCTTTGTAAAGGAACTCCGAAGTAAACTTCAGAACATATTATTTTCATTGGCATGCGATTCGCTGCTATTCTGTTGAGCAATTTTTTTAAAACTAACGTTTACGCTAATGTATCTGGAATATACAACCGTTCTCAACGCCACGTCACTTACCTTAGCGACTAGCAATGTAATCATATATTTATCATATGGAAGTGTGACTACTGACTTGAAACATATGAGGTAATCTAAGTTTGAGACCAGCGGTATACAGCTTTTGGTCGGTAATGGGGGGGGTGAGCCTCTTAGAGCAATGCTTTTGTCAGTATCACAATGATACCCAAAGCAAGCGGATGGTGTAACGATAAACCAGATTGAACAGCACATTGTTAAAAAAAGATCGAAAAACTTTCAGGATGAACGTGACCAGTTTGTCGCAGAAGATTTTTCTTGTTTAGGGTGTGCCATTTGTTGCGCCGAGTTAGCTTTGCGTATCTCTTTCTGCAGCTTGAATTTACTTTGTCGAGGAGAATCTGTATTGGACGTACCGTTCGCCTGTCAACTATAGTGCTGCTCAAATATAGGTGAGTTACACTCAAAAAAAACAGTTCACAATATTTTCAATCAATAGATCACAATCATAACCCATGAATCGCGATGTAAAGAAGCTGCTTAGTATAAGAGATCCTGTTGTTGAATTAGGCCCGTCGTGTTCGGGTTCTAGGTTGGCTTGCATGTCACGCCTGTTTAGCAAGAATTAAAGTTAATGACCATATTCAGAAAATACAAGTTAGACCTGGTATGGAAATCAGCGGTCGGGAACATGGAGCATATAAATGAAAGCAACTAGATGTCATCCAGCGATCGCTGTACGACCCTAGCTGACAGCGAATGCTGAGTGCTGTCTAAACAACGAGATCGATATGTGCGGGTCGTGTCGATCTGCGGGCGAGAACAAGAAAGCGGACTTAGTTGAGAAAGGGAGCTGAACTGCTGAAGAGGTGAAAAAAACTGAACACGACAAGTTATCTAAGTTATCTGTTTGTAAGGAGAAAAATCGATGTATCTATAAGAGTGAAGCACACCTCCTTCAAGAAGGCTCACGCGAAGGAGAATGAAAGAGTGAGTCTATATCTGGGACGAGCGACACTCGAAAAGGTAAAGTGGTCAACATGCCATAAAATGAAATGGAGAATACCTTTTATGATGGACCGTTCTCACGAAGGCGGAACCTGATCTATAATAGGCCATATTTTTGCAAACTTCTTTATACCTCGATAAAGTTTTCGCTGGGAAGAAAAGTAGAAATATGGCAGACTCATTCGTTAATTACTACGGCAGCAATAGAATTGCCATGCAATTATACTACTGTATTGCTGAAATGATATATACATATATATATGGTGTGGTATTTTCATTTTTATTCCTATATAAACAATGGCAGAGATTCTAAAGCATTCGAGAACATGACGAAGACTACTCGGATAAGCCAATGAGCTCATTTCGGACGAGTTATATGTTAATTACCACCCTGAAATGTCATAATTACAGAAGCGCCTATAGCTAGATTCTTCCTTTCGCATTTTGACACCAACAAGCAACACTTAAATAAAAGGTCTTATATTGGACCTAAATGACAAGTTAACTACGGTAAGTAAACGCCGCTACTAGTATACGTCAATATGCACCCGACTTTTGCATTTTACTATTTTGATATTTACAAAAGATTGGGGCTTCAACGTAAGACTCAGATACGCTCCCACAAACTGGATACTCCACAAAGCTTCTCTGGATAAGAGTATACTCTCTTTTACCTGTTGGAGACAAGAGGCCAGTCAGTTAATTCTGAATTTTGACAAATCGTCGCTCAGGATGCGACGGTCCAGTCGATAGCGTATGAGATGCTGCGAGTGTATAATACACTCGAACGCCAACACATCAACTAACGTAGACAGTAATGCTCTACTCAAGCCTTTTAGACTCGATGTTCAAGAAATATCGCCTTCGTAGCTTTCGATACGAATGCTATTGCTCGAAACAACGCCCAGCGTTTGAACTCTAATTGGGTTTCTGGTCCCAACTGCACAGGACCCACGCCAATCAGTGCGATATTCGACGTACCGAATCGTCGTTATTTAGTCTTATTATTGTTGTTGATGATGCTGTTGTTAGCTTTGTGCTAACCGCCTGGATGCATACAGGTTTAGTGCGCTGATGTATTTGGACTTGTTGTTCTAGAACGCCGTTGTTGGCTTACTGAATTTACATCTGGTTAGCAGTTTCGGACGTATAGTTAGTTAGGCTCTACAATCGGTTGTCGCTGCCATCATTTTCGCTGAAGTATCCGCGGAACAATGTCTCATATTGTGGTAATAATGCGTGCATACTCTATCGGCATGAACGCGAGAAAAGTACGTCCATTAATGGAATCGTTCGAAAACATCCGTTTTTAGAAACGCAGCTCCTTAATGAAGTGCGATTAATATACATGTTCGGACTACCTGAGTCTAGCAATAGATACAACGAGGAAGACCATTAGCATTTAACTGATTCTTGTGCATTTAATTTTGTCTCCTACTTGCAACTAAAAGGACTAGTCGTCGCAAAGACAATAGTTAGCAGTTGCAATAATAATCAAGAAAAAACATACCGGATACAGGAAGGGGAAAGTTTCTGCATTCTGGCTTCAGTTTAACGGCGAACATTATTACTTTCTGGTAGCAGTCTCAATCGACATTCCCCAAAAGCCTCACCCGGAACAGGTGGACAGTTTGTGGATGAGTTTTTCCTTATCGTTCCCAGAATTCCATTATTGTTTTACGACGTTGGTTAACTGTTTGATGTGTGGGTTTCACGACGTTGTACATCGACGACTACTCGGTCTGACGAGTATCGTGATAAATTTCTAGTTTATTTTTAGTGTATTATCCGCACGTTACGTATATAGCTCATAGTAATCACATCGTATTAATCATAGTGTTCATCGTTGGACAATAGAAATAATCAAATTGGAATTTTCGATTGAAATGAAGTTCATTTGTAACTAGTAGCTGCTATCGCATGCTCCCTATTCGTTTTGCGGCTTAGTCGGCCATAAACTAAGCATGCCAGTGGTTGACTCAACTATAGGATTAGAGTCACATCCATCTTTTTAGATCAATACGGCCATGGAAATTTGTATCCCTTTTGGTCTCCGTTTTCCGTTGACCTCCATTGTGAGCAGGATAAGATTTCGCTAAGCACCTTTTCCTTAAGCAGCCTTTTCCTCAGGTATGTATCGCTTGCTGTGCCAGCGCAACGTTTTGGTCGATCTAGGATACGTGAGTACAAGTGCAGTTCGACAACGTGTCCTCCTTATTTCGCAAGACACCTAAGCACTCTGTGTGAAAAGAAAGACGGCTAAAACAACCAGGTTGCAATTAAACCAGATCCAGGAAACGGCCGTAAACGCTACCTAAAAGGCGTACTCAGAAGCCCCTGAATAAATAGCGAATGCCCTTGAAGGAATGGAATAGAGTAGCAAAACACATAAGCAAGCGGCATTGTTTATTTCTAGTTCGAAATATAGGCAAAGTGTTCTCTTTCAAGAATGTTTACGAAGACAAACATGTGATGTACGACATTAAAAAATATCTTTTTGCATCTGTTATTTAAAAGCCACCACGCGTTGGAGAGTAAATAATGATCGATGGATCGATGTTGAAAACACTGCTTATTACTGGGTTCATCTTTGGCATAAAGCCTTAAGATGCGCAAATGGCAGATCATGTTATACTATACATATATTGTACTATACAGTACACTAGCCGGGTTTTTAAGCTTAGAAGCATTCGCTTCAAGTATAGGTTGATCGGAACCTATACTGGCAACTGCGCGGCCTTTACGGTCGGACAAGTATCGCAAAGAGCGATACAAACACTTCCTAAGGTCGCAGGTGGCACGAGATTGTCTGCCCACTTCTATTTAGTTTATAATGCAATAGTGTTAATTCAGTCAAGAACAAAATGAGCACGACTTTAGTTACTTACCTTCTCTTAATCGTTAAAGCGCCCTTATTTATTATATTTAAACAGGATGATCCGAAGGCTAGAATCCTCATTTCAGCGGGTGGGAAAGGGTGGCACCCGCGCTCAACTCCTCTCAACTGCAATCGTCTGAAATATCTAACAAATACCGACGAGCTAAAGGTTTCCGTGACGAACGATGGTGACTTAAAACGTTTCTCCCTGACAAGCCCCTTGACTGCGCCGCTGTACATATTATCACATTTAGCTAGAAAAACAGCAGAGGACTGCTATTGAACCCAGCCGTATCACTCAACAGTTTTGGCTAATGTGAATTTGAGAATTCGAAATCTGAGCACAAATTTTTTATCTTCAGGGCCGGTGTATTGTTGGAAGTATTTCAGTTGGTTAAAATTGGCATTGTATAATTAAACATCATAATCCCATCCAATAGGATCTAGTTAATGGTGAGGAGGATAACTACGTCCATAGGGATAAAGAAACCTACTTCTAAAGAAATCGTGTGAAGCTGTGAGAGGTGTCTAAAATCAGTTTTGAATGCAAATGAAAGTCAACTATTTATTTAGCTGGATAACGCAATATTGATACGGTACGCGATGAGCTGACCGGAATATAAATCTGCCTTAAGATAATAACTATAATAATATAAGTGAGAAAAATTATCTTTAGTGAGACTTGAACAGCGGAAACAAGAAGAATAAGTTAAAATGCGGCACAACCCCAGCCTTGAAGAGCTAGCAAAAATGCTTCGTCGAAGCAAGGTACGTCTTGAACGAATCTAAAATTAGACAAGTTGAGAACCTCAAAGTTAAAGTTCTACCATTTGCTACTATTTATATCATGTCTTTCGAAAGGCTGATGAAATTGCTCCCATAATTTATGTTTACTTACTCAGTATTTTTTGTAACGAGAAAAGGATTTAACATGATCTAACTGGGACTTGCAAATCGGAGGTGTTTAAACTCGAACTTGACGGGTTTACAAACTTTTGTTACTGACCGCTTTTTCGTTGGACCTGCGAGGTTTTAGTGGAAGGAACAGGTGAAGTGAACTGCATTACATGTAAAAACAAGAAGCAGTTGAAACCCCCTAGAGCTAATAGAATAAACCTGCGTTTTTTTTTAAAGGAGAATCTTAAAAGGTTCTCTGATAAAAAAAAACTTCTCTGATTTACACTTTAATCTGCTTACTAATTGGATCTAATAGAAAGATCAGGATACAAAGTTTAGTGAAGTAGTACCAATTTTGCGGCTACGTGAGCGGGAAATTTTCCTAGGCAGAAACCCTACTTTCTTTTCACGTATTTCTTTCCGTTTTTATTTCAATAATAAAAACATCTTGTTTGACAAATAGAATCAGATACAGTACTCTATGGTTAGTAAAAATGTTTACAGTGCAAACTTGAAGCATGAAGCATGAAAATAGGTGGCCGATGGCCGAAAGTCGCCCGCGAATCCGATACTCCCTTACCTGAGACGGAACAAACGAAAATCGTTTTTCCTAACAGATCGAAAAGGGCTGTTACAAGTGTGAACATCCAAATAATGAGTCACAATACTCCGGTCACGTTTTTTTCACACTGCATAAATACGACATTGCTAAAAAAAGAAGGCCCGACGCAATAAATACCCGTGTAAGGCCAAGCGGAGGTGCAAAATTGTTGATAACGTTCCTCACTTAGGTTCGACCGATGCCCTGTAGGTGGTCTTTCTTTGCACGATCAACAATAGTCGGTTAACGACCCTCTAAGCGATTGGTGCTCCTCTTGAAAGCGTTTCACGTTTCGCTCTTAGCTTAATTTACAAATGTTTTCCTAAATTTCGAAACAGATGAGTGAATTTATCCCAGCACCCGAGGATACCAACCAACCGAGACAAATAGTCATATGGCATGCATGGACATGACCGAACGATTTACGCGAGGATTCTCCGACTGTAACCGATTCGTAGATTTTTTAGGAAATATTAAAAGCATTTTACAAATGTTAACGTCACCCGTAATGCAAATATGGGGTTTAGAGCATCCGAAAAATATAAACAATGAATTGAATTTTAATAACAACTTAAGCCGACAATTATCACATGATATATATGATGTACATAAATAGAATAAAACATATCAGACAGCGTCTGTGAATGTGAGACGGGTCACGACGGTGAACAGCGTCGCACGATGGACCGAAGCTAATTTTTTGCCGCAATTCTTATTCATAAACAATTCTTAGGTTTGGCATATAAATACTAAATAGGCCGACCGATTGCAAATGACAATAACCCTGTCTTTTATTTTCTAGAGAGCAAGGCCTCATGATGTATTCTGCAACACTCGTATTCATTAGTTGTTATTAACAAAATGTATTTCCTACATTTTGAACCTAAATGAAGCTCATTTCTATTAGCTATTCACCATTTAAGAATGTGGATTATCATGAACGCCTGCAAAGCCCTTTGATTACTGCATTTTTGCGCTGCACAAGAAATTCTTTCTCCTGTTTCTTTGACAGTTCTGTTCTTATTAGCAAAAACAGATAATTGTAACAGATTCGAGAAGGCCTTCAAATCAATTTTTCGCTTCTCTTCCTGTATGCGAGGGCTACAGCCGCGATCTTTCGCTATCCGCCCTCTTGTTTTAGCAGAGTTAACAAACGATAGCACCGATGCAAACTGCAAATCGACGTAAACGTTTAGCGCGCGACAGAGAGAGCGTTATCTTCTGATACTGACTTCTACGACGACTATTCCAACTTTACAAAAGCAAGCATCTAAGTCCGTGCGCCACGGACGTCAATGCAATATCGTCGTAATCGAGCTTTCCTGCAAGCAACGAAGCTACGATTCCCCCTGCATAAATCATCTTTCGTGGGGCCGTTGCATCGCCGTCGCTGCAGAACTTCAGCTCGTACGGCCTCTGTCTGTTCGTCGACTGGTTAACATAAGACAGTTCATAACCGTCCGCAACACTGAAAAACTGCACGAACTGTTATAGAGTGAATCGACAGCTGATGGTTGGCAAACGGTTGAGGCCACTTGTGTCTCTGGTGGTACTACGTGCATCCGTGCATTGGTCTTGTTGGGCTAAGCCAGTTTCCTCGGGCCACCGCTTAGCTGATTGCTTTCCATCTCGCAGTGGTTTTGGTGTCGAACCAATATAAACAGCGGTAGCAGAAACGTCGTATTGGCTTCAAAAAGTAACAACAAGAAAACAGTTGGTCCACCGCTACTCATTCTGGTCGGATCACGTGGGTAGGGACCCAGCTACGACAGAACCCCCCACTCGTCCCCACCACTCGTCCCTTACTGATAGTATTTTTTCTGCTACGGCGGCAAAAGCGGCTTAATCGTCGTCGTCGTCACCATTCTAGTCGACGATTTTGCCGCATTCGCATAAATACTGGCACATACAGCGTTCAATGTACAGTGTGTGTCTGTATGTTCGTATATATGTATCTACACGTGCGCCTGTTATCGCAGGACGAATCCAGTGTACGACAAACTTGAAACAACGGAGACACAGAGTGCACACTTATTTAGTGCAGATTATACTGTGGAGAATATTAAATGGATATAGTCTTACACTGTCACAGGCAAGCGAAGCATAAGCAAGAAAACGTATCCAAGCGACACTATTGTTGTTATTGTTTCCCGCTTCCATTGATACGCACAGTCTCCGTAGATTTTGTCTGGTTAGGCCAGCCAATATCATGGTCTCCAACACGAATGTGAAATTTCAACGAGACGATGCGTCTTCGCACCCTTCCTATTCAGGATTTACAGGAAAATAACTTTATGAAGCCTCATAAAGAACTGCTAGTCAATGATGTCGCTCACTCTTTGGTCCCCACAGTAACACAAACCTATGATCCTGCTCATAATACTTTTCGCGCCATGGAGCCCTTCAGGATTACATTAGCACTGTAGTAACACTTGCGTTACTACTCGAATAGTTAACGACGTTCACGAACATCCGCGGATTTACAGTTTATCTTAACTTGGCATGCCGCATTGGATTAGCCTTCTACTTCTGTCAGTTACTGCCAAAACTGAGAAGTGAAACAGCATTTTGCTTACACAAATATCGTGCGGCCAATGGCCGGTATCAAGTCGTCACCGGTCTATAGGTCATTATCACCAGCAAAAATTTGACGTAATATAAAATAACGTCGTACGAAACACACGTCAAAAAAGCGGATTAAAAAAGGTAAAAAACCAGCAACGAATAGTATCAAGAAAACCGTCGTTAATAGTAAAAATTGACGTTTCCTTTTACATTGCCGCCTCTCAAACGTGATGTTTCTGATTTTAAACTATATATATGTAGAAACAAATAACATACATGACCAGCCCTTTTGGTCAGTGGTAATCACCTGTATGCATGAACTTTTTAGACCATTAATATGGTGCTATACGAAACGCTACACAAGGATACGCTTTAAACAGCTTTACTACTGCTGTTGCGACTGACGTTGTCACTGCTGCTGACGATCAACTGTAACGGCGTTTTCGGTGTCTAGATCGAATTGAGACTGCAACTAAAGATCGTATTTGCAGCTGTCGGCAGAAGTTTGAGTGTGGGTTGATCATTGATGGTAGGCGTGAGAATACACGTAGACACCTAACGACGTCGGCCATATAACCATACAGCAGCGAGGCTGGCTCGTTACTGTCTAGTAGCGCCGCCTAGCGAGAATAGATTATATATATTAGATAGAACCATTGAGAAAACTATGTACACTATCAGAGTCGTGTTTGTCTTTGTGGGTCGACATTCGTTTCTTGAAGATCATCTACCAGCGATGATCGTTTTAGATTTGATACGAATATAGATAAAAATTTCTGCTATTGTACTTTTTCTGAGAGTTGAAGTCTTTCCAGTCAACGGCAATAGCTATACCGCTACTGATAAATATCCTAGTTATCTTTGTTTTACTGGGCGTAAAGCATATTTGTTTTTGTGTTGCTCTATATATGATCGTTGAAATTTAACAACGTTTTTCGTTGCACAACGGTGTGTGTGACACAGAAGAAAGATATTATGATTTGCTACACGCACCCATTGCATAGCGGCAATGAACTCATCTGGTTAAGCATATTGTTTCGGAAATTAATGGGAAAATAAGCTGATTAGTCAAAAAGAAGAGTTCGATAGACAAGATTGGTTTGATACAATATGCTTTTAGAAATTATGGTAATCATCAAAAACATTTTGTACTAATGATTCAGAGAAAAAAAACTATTCTAACTGTGAATTAGCACAAAAAAGTATTTTGTGGTAAATTTTTTGTAGGCGGTTTTATTTGGAAGTTTGATGCGTTCAATATCTGATTAAATCTAAGCCCACAGATGGGACAAACCATAATGAAGTATCTATATTACTTTAGTTTGAAAGCGCTGTCGGAAATGCGAAACAGTATTATTATTTCTAGAAACAACTACAGACTTTTTTAATACTAATAAGTGTTATAAAATTAATATAAATAAGATATTGTTACATAAATAAGCGCTACTTAGTCATTCTTGAATTCTTCCATTAACGTACTATAGATTGCTGCTGCAAAAGAGACAGTGCTAAATTGCCTTTATTTCTCGTCTGGACTTTAAATCCATTCACTCGTTCATTTTATCAAACGCACCAACCTTTTCCTTGACGCATGTGTTGACTTCAATGCGATTCACCAAATTTATATCGTTGTTGGTGTTTTCGTGGAATCGTTTCAGCTCCGTGTGGGTGACGACTGTGTTGGGAGCGTGTTCACGAGGAAGATCTCCCCAGAACCTCCAGGGAGCAGCAGCGACGAGATGGCAGCAATGCAGTCTCTTGGGGGTCTTGGCTCCCTTGGCGGAGATCTCCTCAACCAGAATAACCAGAGTGAAGCCGGACCAGAGGTATGACTCTTTAAGTTCGACTAACCTCTTTTCCTTTAATACAAAATTAGTGTTTGACATCGAAAGAAATCTGGCGTTACACACAAAATCTTAATCACACATTATATCTGTGTATAATATTATAACAATTCAAATCTTCATAGGCAATTCAAGCTCTGGAATGATAAACAAATTTACTCCATTTTTGGAGTATAATCGGCAAAAATCTTTTGAGAGTTATGCCATACTTGATATCCATCTTCTGCTTGTACGGTATCAAATGCAGCGCACTTACTCGGGACTCGAAACTATTAGAAACGCGATAGCATGTACTTTATGGTGTAGGCTCGTTCTGGTTTAAATAACGCTGAGCTTATTGGAAAGAACGAGCAGAAAGTAGCTAAAAGTACGAAATAGATATAAATGTATTTCTTTCTACTTGAATGTTTAGAATACAGCTGAGACCTGATTACCCAGTTTATTTTGTAGCCCTAAAACAAATTTATTTTTATTATTAATTCATTCAAAGTAATCTTCTTTCCCTACTTAATCATGCTCCTGATGACGGAACACGGAGATAGAAAACAGATAACCCAAATCATCATAGAGTTTTTATTTGGAAAGCATCTTTAAGCTTGTAATTTGTGCACTGATTCAAGATTCTACAGCCTCCTATAGAAGAGAGGCTAACGTATCTGCAATTATTATGTTTCACTGGGAAGATCTGTGTACATTTTTATCCTTTCTTTTCAGAGTCTGGTCACTCAAAATTATTGTTTCGCGTGGATTCATACTTTTCAGTTCACTCTGTGTGTCTCATACAAAACATTAGTAGAGAGATATATAATATTTTTCAATTTTGGAACTGTATTTTTACTCATATGTGTCTCGTATGAAAAACATACACAGATCGAGCTATCAACTATCTGGCTGCGAGCAGCTAATGCCCGCTCGTTCGTCCTACGGTTACAGGTGGCTCTCTTCAACAATGGCCAGCACGCAAATGACGCTCTGAATTTTAATGATGCTACAACAGAAACAACAACGTCAACAACAACGATAGCACACCACCGCCATTCAAGCTCTACGGCAAACATCATGCAGGTGAGCAGCTTTCATGAACTTGGGCATCCTATAAATGTGGCAGAACGGTCTAGCATAGTATTCGCTTTGTTAGCGGAGTTCTGCATTCAGAAGCCAGGTCCATGTCGGACGGTAGTTATCCTCTTTGAGACACCGTTGCCTTTTGGTTAATAATAAAAATATTTACTGGAAGAGATTCGCTTCGACTTTCCACTGAATTATTACTATTCTATAATGGTGACCTCTCTAAGATTAAGCTGATATGAATGCCTCGTTGCCTCATTTTCAGCCACAAAAAGTACGATTTGGCTAAAATTATTCGCTTTGCGTTTCAGTGAATTTTGTTTCTTATTTGGCCATTCGGCAATCTACTGAAGGTGCCTCAAAATGCCCCAGAGCAACATCTCTTAGATTTAGCCATTTCTAAAACTAAGAACTATGTAATTATCTCAGTTAATTTAGATAGACAGTACATCAACAATATAAACATAAATTAACTTATTGCGATTTGTGATAACAAGTTATACACATCAATACCATATGAATAAACAGTTTCAAGAAGGTAAGGTGCTCTTCCGTAGAAAAAAAATTCCATCCCAGGTCCCCAGACAGATACTGCCCGCTTACAGGAGCATGAACATTATGCGTGGGACATGTTGTTTAGGCTGTAGGACAAAGCTGTATATACTTACTTATTCTGCTTTGGCAAACATTGCATCTTTTAGACAAGGAAATTCAGCGTACTGTAAAGAAGAAGGTATTTTGTTAAATTCTGCTCGCTGTTTTAACAGGGAACATTTATATGATATCTCTTTCATCATCTAACGGGAGCCAGTTATAGGGCCGACAATGGGTGTTGAGCCAGTCGGTGCAATGGTGCCAGTTCACTAGAATATGTATGTTGGCGATACTATTGATCCACAGAATCGCCATTAGGCACATGCACCTTGCTTGGCTGTGTTTATCCGTTTATTCATTGGTACGCTTTGCCAGCCCTATTATTCCGTCATCACTTACTGGTGAGTCGGGAGCAAAGTTGTCCAAAAATGTTCAGCATAAATCCAGCACAAAGGGTTATTGCAGTTGGAATATCACTGTGTTTTGACACATTTGTTATGTTTCAGTTGTTTAGGGACTAGATAGGGAAATTATTATCGTTAATTAACTTTATCCTCCTTATAGTGTACCACATGTTGAACTAAATATGTAACAGCCACTTTGACCACTCGTATTGGTATCACTGAGGGCTAAATTGAGGTCTTCTAGGTACAGGTATTACCTGGCTTTGTTGAGTATCTTTATTCAATTCAGCCTCATTCAATTTGAATAACGAAAGAATGTAACTAATAGACAAAAACAAAAACAACTCAAGCTCAACCAGTCAGACTCTCATTCGATAATTCATCATTTGTTTTAAATGGTGCTCTTGGATGAAACACTTCATGGACCGCTCAGTGCTACACGGACAGAAGCGGTAGACAGGGTGGTCCACGGTTGATTCTGAGTATAGAAGACAGTATAATTTTCGGTCATACATTACTACAACTGACTTATGCAGCGCTTCTAGTATGTTCATTTGGGTTCAGCTCTAATATGACTACTAAGTGTGTTCCGGTATCATTTAATTAAACTTTTCTCGTGCTCTCAATTTTCATCAGGAGAACGTGACGTCTATGGATAGTAGAGGTGGTTATGATTCAAGGACCATCACCAAGCAAACCCTGTCGAAGCTCCAGATCAATTCCAAGTTTGGAACGTTCACGCGCAGGACATGCGAATCAATCGAGAAGTTTAATTTCAACCCGGAAGACGACGATGACAACTCTTCCAGGCAGAACGGGATGGATATTGACTGCGACGGTGAGCAGACCATAGTTCCCGGCGGTCGTCAGAGGACAGGCAGATTTTCTAACGGTTTCAACAATGAAACCACTCAGAACAACGACCTCCACCAACGCCATTTGAATGGAGAATCTCCAGTGTCTGCTGGACTGTAAGTGTTTCATGCATAGATATGCATAATCGTCTGATTAGTCGAATCATGCTTCGAAATTGCGGTCATGCTTGTACTTTTCGAAAAATTTCGAAAACAATACGAAAAGTTATTATCTATCAACTTAAGTGATAAATAAGAACCTTTAAACAATATTGAAATATGTATTATAATTTCTAGCTCTAACGCTCAGGGCGTACACCTGTCAGATAGTGACCTTTCACTTAGACAGTTGAACGGCGGCGCTATGCTACACGACGTCAAGGCCCCGCGTAACGGTTCTCCAAATGCCAATCGAAAACTTCAAAGTAGTCCGCAACAGCCCAGGCGCGGTTCTCCATCCCGACAGCCAACGAAACAGGTAAAGATGGGGTCTTGGATGAGAACTCACTTTGTGATCGTTCTATTTTTATTTCTTCTACAGAGCGTGTTAGCGAACCTACGTACACAAATTGTTAAGTACGTATATTTAATATTTGGACAGACGTAACGAGTTGCCAGATTTTTAAGCGAAATACAAGCTTCTTTGTATAGATTTACACAATGCATTCCTCGGTATATAATATTTCTGTCGTCTTCATCGTACAACACGTTGTCACAAGTTTGTTCTATAGGTTACTGACGGCATATTGGTCACGCAATTTCATAAGTGGACTTTTATCATAGCTTTGGTAGGAAAATAGATTCAATCATCCGTAGTCCTTAGATCAGAAGTAAGCTTTGCTTGAAATGAGCGTATATGCTTTCTCAATTCAATGGATAACAGGACTCAATAAAAAAAAATGAATCCTGTCTTCTTAAATTGTTATTTTTAAGGCTTACGATAGTTCACAAAGATGATTTATGCCACATTGGCTCGAAAGCTTTTAGGATCAAAGCTGTCACAAGATCCGGTGCACGAAGGTACTGAATAGAATACTTCTATGCTATCATCGTCTATATATATAAAGATAATACTTGAAATATTGGTCAGCAACATTAATAGAATAAGGTAGCCGACATACTCTCACATAAATGATCTAGACACGCCCACATACACACAGAATATAGCCATTAAATTCTACCATCAAAGAGCATATTCTCAATATACAAAAATTTTCTATCATAATTTGATAGATTTAGGAACTGACAAATCTTAACGAAATTGTTGCCTCTTAATGACCTGCCGCGTGGATCAACGGGATAACCTTCATGTTGTTGCTGGTGATAACTATGGACCTGTGGAAACTTTCACCAGGTTGAAGCAGCCGTTCGAGGTATTGGTCAAATAAAACCATCAGCCTTTGTATCGCCTTTAATGATGACCGGCCGTTCTCACGGTTCGCTCGACGCCTCCGAGCTTCCTTCAGCCGGAATATGTAGTGAGAATAGTACGGGTGGGGGGAATTACAGCCAAAGTGAAAGTTCGTGCGGCAATCTGGACGCCGATTCACAAACTGAGAGCGCATTATTGGTCGATGCCCGCCTCCTTGACGATCAAGTGAGTGAATGACATTCAGTGAAATCAAAAACTGGATTGATCTATAAGCCTCATCATCACCATATTAGCCCCCTTAAAGCTAGCCGTACACGATTTGGTTCTCAAAACTACTATATTTGTTGTGCTCGAAGAAACTTATTGCTACAAATATCTCAGCAAATGCCTACAAAATACTAGGAAGAACGTGCAGTTTATTCAAGCATCTAGCCCAGCACAACAATGCATGAATGCAGGCGAATGGCCGTGTCTGAGTGAGCGAGTGCTTGAATGCGGACCACCCTGAAACAGTACTGCCGCCACCGATGCAACTTCGCATGTTAACGTCTGTCAAACTTGCGTAATTCATAGCAGACGAAATCTGACGGGGAGCTTGCAGAATGAACTTCAATGGTGTCAACAACGGATATGTACGAAACGTCTGCTATGCCTGAACACTGGAAAATCCTGTAAAGGAAATGTTTATTCCGGTTTAACTAGTTTAATTCATATAAACAATATGTATTATGGATCGCCACCTGTCTATTTTCTACTATTTTTTTCGTGGGGTTTAGCTGTGAACGCGTTTCAGCAAATACTTGCCTCATTTATGATGCGTCTTACCGCGTAGTAGTTCGTACGCAACGACGGCAAAAGCTAACTATATCATTGACGTTTGCGTAATCCTACAATACGCAAAAAAATATTGCTTTTGGGGTTTCGCCTTAGGCAATTAGGAAATCACGGTTACCTGAACACTCAGTTGAACCGAATTGTGCCCGAAGTTTTTGTGAACCCTCCCAAAGGTCCGTGTAAAAGCTCCAGCATGTAACGCATTAGTAAATTTCCCCATTTTGTTTTGTCTTATCATTTTAACTCTACCGTATCTAATCAGTGTTAATTGTATGACCTTCATTTGAACGCTCATTGGTAGCGTGAAGTGCTTTTCCGTTTGTTTTAATATGATTTTGTCTACTTGTTGCGCATCTTGCATTTTTATATAATTCTGGAATATTTTTTCTCATTCGAAATTTGAAAGGAATCGAAGAAGGTATTTAGCAAGGTAGCCAAAATCGCCTCTAAATTTAGATAAAAAAAACACATTGGGTTCACTGAAATTGACCAATATGCGCCGCAAGATGTTTTGCCTCATTGTTATGTTTTGTTAATCATTACATCAATTAGCATTTTGTGTTGTCGTGGCCTGTGCTGATGTGATGCTCTTCTCCTACGCTGCATTCTAGGTGGTTGAATTGGAAAAGGAAGTTGATTCACTTAAGATTTATTTGAATGATGCACTCGCAGAACGTGATCAAGCAGTGGCCGCCCTCAGAGCTTATGAAGAATTACTCAAGCGCATTAATGAGGCAAACGCAAAACAAAAAAGGTAAGATAATCATCGTGCTAGAGCCTCCACTCCGCTGTTCATATACGACTCATGACAATTTAAGCGCGGAGAGTTTCAATATACAATATAACAGCATACTAAATGATTTTGTAGTCACTTTTTGTCGGAGTCGCGACATGTAACAGACGGAACAATCTTTGACAAATTTATAGATCATCAACGTCTTCCTTGGGTAGTGGGAGTTCTTCACAGAAGGATGCTGCCGCAAGTAATTCCACAGCCGCCGATTCAGAGCGTCTGAAAAAGAAAAACGCCATGCTAGAGAAGACGGTAGACAATCTCGAACAAACTGTGCAGGACACCATGGCAAGGATGAATGATGTGAAGGACGTTAACCAAGAACTCAAAACGGTTTGTTATCTAATTACATGTGTCTGTTTATAGTGTCGATGCAATAGACTGAACATTGCTAAATATCTCATCATTATAACGAATTTTACTAATTAAACCTAATAGAAAAAGTACAAAAATGTTATTTGGCAATGGAAATCTGTATTTTTATTTGTTATCAAGATAGCCCCATTAGCTTGTGACCCTCATGGCGTATTCTGCACTTCATTACTAGGTTCTAACGGACCAGCAGGACATGCTGGCTCAGTACAAGAGCACGATTGAGCAGAAGACGTTTGAGTACAAGGACCTCCTTGCCAAGCACGAGGCTCACATCGACGCTCTGGTAAGAAGCGGGCCAATACGTACCACTACGGTATATCGACATAGCGCCTTAAGTTTTCTGTTTGCATTACAAGTCTTTTAATATGCTTCGTTCAAGCGTATATATAAGGTAACACTGTAAGCCTTGTACATTGAAATGAATAATTAATCAAAATATTAGGAACAAGCAATTTTGGTTGTATCGCCACAGTTGAGTGATCACATCAACCCTTATACTTTGCGATCTGTAATAGGTTACCGAGCATAAGCGAGATCGTGCACTACTGGAGAAACAAATCACTTTACTGCGTGCAGAGGCGCATATGAAAAGCCTTGATAATGAGCGGCTCGCTTCAGAGTGCCGAATTAAGGTATGCATTACTCAGAGTTCATATCGTTATATGTCCTACCCATTATGTAATCAAAATGGAGCCTCACAAGGCCATACTTAACGACTATTTTCCTTTCAAAAATCATATTTTATACCTTTCAATCGATTAACCAACCAGCAAATAAATTAACACATCGTTTTTCCATTTGTAAATAATTTGTTTTGTAATTTCGTGATCCCTTAGGGTGAACAACTGGCTCGCATGACAGAGATGCTCAACGAACTACGCCAGGCGTACTAAATGGGAACAGACAGCGACTTATATAGGGGCGGTATAGGGAAAGCCTTATATCGTGATTTTGTGTGGGGGTGATTGCATTAATTATGCCCACCGGGAACGGGTAGATTATAGGATAGGAATTGAAGCATATTGCCCCTAGCAGGGAAAACACCTGATTTTAGTTGGGCTAAATGGGTCTCAACGGAATGTGCCACGTCACTTTTTTCTGCGCTCTCTGTATTTTGGTGTCCTCTTTGTTTTCCCGATTTGGGAAAGCTCTACGAGTCATGGATCAACAGAAGCCAAGCAGTAGCATATCGGTTGACTAATTACAAACCAAACACAAGCAGGCTAAGATTCAGAATATGAATATTTTTTAGAACGGTTGCGGCTCAGCTGTTGTTGGATAAACATCATCATAATAGAAAGTTGTCTCCTATCTCTTACAACTAGAATAAAGTTGAAAAAAAACAAACGGTTGTTATATGCGTATTAACGCAGAATTGACTCTATTGCATATAATTGCAACGTACCGACTCATCTACACCATCAGAGAGAAACCAGCGATGGATGGTATTGTTCGTCACGATGAAAAGAAAACAATCTGATGAAAGTGTCTGTAAAGTTCAGTATAAATACGAACACTTTGAAATAATGATAAATAAATAGTGAATACGTATATCGCTAAGTAACAATGTTACGAATAAGAAGTTGCAAGCGCGCAGCAATATATGATTTTCTGCAAAGCTAGCCCCATATTATTACTAATAAAAATAATAAATCAGTAGGCTACAATATACGGATGCATACAAACGTATTCAGGGTAAATCTGGAGGAATCGAGAGATTGATTTTGGTGGACCAATACGTGTACGATCATTTGGCTTCAATTTATCCATTTACCTTTTTTAGTTTATTAGGTACGAAATCCCGATCAATCTCTATACTAGGTTAGACAAGTATGCTCAATAGATTAACGCTCGATTCAATGTAAAGTAGTGTTAGAAAAGCAAATTTATTCGTGGATTTTAATTGGTTTTGTCCACTACAGATATTTAAACCGACAGAAATACTTTTATATGCAAATCACTATACAAGTTGTGATTCTGTTCTTTTACAGTCATAAAAAAAATGACTCACGCCGTTCTTTAGCTCATATCGCATACATTGGATACCTCAAGGGCCAGATCATATTTTATGACCGATATTAGGTGTTTACCTGTCTGAATCAGACCAAGCAGGTGAACGAGTGTAGCCCAGTGCAATTAACCGTGATTTTATTTTACATGTTAGGTAATGCTTCTTCTTATCAAGTGATGCCGGTTGTATTTTGAGTGTTAGTTCCAATTCTAGACATTAGCAAACTTGTTTTTTATTTTTGCCAGTTTAGCTTCGTTTTCACGGCTGAGGCAAGAACGTTGATGAACTCCATCGACGACAAAAACGAATCCGAAATTCCATAATTATACCTAGAGACCTAGAACTAAATTAAATGATGCCCTTGAAGAGATCGACCTCGGATATGTTACTGTGAACCAGTAACGTTTTAAAAAATTGTCGTTAATGGTTAGTTGATAGGAGTTACTCTTCATTTTTTTTTAGTTAAGCTTGAGTGGTTTAAAGCTATGTTGGAACTTCTACTAAACCTAACATCTTGTTTTATATAATCAATTAGGCATATCATGCTGCCAGAAGGACGTAGTTTATATTTTGTTCGCTAATGATCGATGTCTTTTATTGATGGGGGCTCACCTAAAGTGATACTATATTAAAAAGCTCTTTCTTTGGAAACTATCGTGTTAGATTAGCTAGCTTTAATAGGCTTCATGGGCGGATCCCAGCTGTTTCAAATAGTACTCTCTGGATTGTTAATATATGAAAACTAATATAAAGAAACATCAATAGGTGCAGTCGCCTATAGTTAATGCTGCTATAGTCCATCGTAATCACAATGTAGAAAAAAAACGAGCAAGCTCGGTATTACGGGAAATAACTTGCTTGCTTGCACTGTAGCTTTACCAGAAGGTTGTTAGACTAGCTTAGCATAAAATTGTGAGCAACGAAAATCGCATAACGTACATGCAAATATAAATGTATGTCTATCAAAGATATTTGTCTAAAATTGCTAGACTATAATTAGTAATGTGCGGTGGTGACAACTCTGACCTCATAAACTCTCACAGATGGTGGTCAGAGATAGCTGTTGATGGTATGTCCATTCATGTTTATGGCTCAGGCTCATAATCCGGGACCTCGTTTATCAATTATTCTTTTCTCCAGCTTCTTCTAAACTTCTAGCTTCTACGCAGACAGTGGAGAATCTATATATCCATTTTTCTAAATATGGCCTCGTTATTAACTAGCTGTTCTACTCGATTCATTTCAATTTTTCACATCGCCCCCAGAAATCTCGACTGATGATGTAGGCGCGGTAAACAAATGTAACGATGCGAGGTGATTGAAAGTTGAAATACCAACAAATTGATGACAAAATAAGATCAAATCTTGAGAAAAAAATGAACATAAAAAAAGACATGGTTAAGAGCGTCACTGTTAGGTTGGGGTTAAATTTAGCTTCGCTTATCGATCCTTGTTAAATGCTTGTCATTTTACCTATTAAAACAATGATGCCGATACTAATTCAAATAGCTATGAGCACGGGTACGTAACAAGCCACCGCAGGACCGGTTATGCACAACACCTAGGAGATGGACCTCAAGTCGACGAAGTACCGTATAATCTGGCATACTTAGTAATACGTGAAGTGCCGAAGTTATTTTATCTCCCTTCAAGACCAACCTCCAACAAAGCCAGATTGTCAAAAAAGTCATAATGATGTAATGATAACATGAAATAGTATATATCATAAAATACGGTACCACAAAGATGATGCTATTATAATAATACCTATCATGGAAATTAGGTGGCACTTATGGCTCGATGCGAGTGCAAGCGAGAAGCATCAATGCCACGATAATACCTTACGACGGTTACATTACGAATGCAATATAGATTAATTATAGAAAAATAGTAAATATAATAAAAATATACATAAAAAGAAAGAAAAAGATAAGAGAATATCGATAGATCAGAACGTCATACATAGTCTATGATGGACGAGATCAAACGCATAAACTACTATACACTAACTGCATACACTGGAAGAGAGGAGAAAGAAAGAATATAAATACATACGCAAAAAACGCTCGATATATATGTATAGACGGCAGACGAAAGTTGGAGAGGTATTTTTATAATTTTAAGTTTCATAGTAAATAAACGACAATATTGTGTACATATATAAACATAACTGTCTTTATTACGACAAATTATTAATTGTTGTAGGTAGAGAGAAGATGCTATTATCCATTAAATTAAAAATTCACTTATGGGTTAGTCCTAAAAAAGTCATCATAACTGATAAACTAAAATTGTTGCACTGCGCACTGCGAGGACAAAAATATCCAAAAAGACGAGGTTTAGCGCAGAAGTGAATCAACTAGGCTACCTCTTACGTGTAGATAGATTTTTGAATACGGCAGATAAAAATAAAAAAACTAGAGTAACCCCAATGACGTTTTTCTAAACAGTGTTGCTTATCATATAATAATTATTATTATTATTCAGAGCACGCAAGTGGCTTAATTGAAAAGTTTATTCGATTGTTTTAAGTTAACTTTTACTTAATCAAAGAGGTTAAAATCCGTCTGAATAGCAGATGAACACATTCTCGTTTTCTGATCTCTAAACTTCTTTAATCTTAAAAACTTTAGACAGTTATTTAAATTGCTAATATCGTTTTGACGTTTATTTTGTTTGAAAAATAATTAGGGTAAACTACTTGGTAACTAAAAAAGAAAATGATGGTATACTTCAAAGAATTTTAACTTTTTATTCAAAAGTTGTTAGGTAACTTGTTACACTAAGTTGACACTATTTGATCGCCTTTCGTTGGGGGCGACTGTGCTTGAAATCAGAGGTCTTCACGCATTTTACAAGAGCATTCTGATCGATCGGCTTGATAATTTTTCCTCGTGAGGTTACAACGTAAGGCTTTATGAGTTCCTGGAAAGCGCTTGGCGTGTTGAACATGCTTCCTATCGGCTGTTTGAGTACTGTCTGAAAGATACAACGGTTTTTGTAATGGCTATACCAGTAAACATCATCTGATTTTAATCGCATCGGAACACCTAAATAAACTAGACACCAACTGACCTCAAACTGCGAAATCTTGGTGAAACCCTTAGGAACGTCAAAAACTCTGTGAGCTTGTATGCCTCTCATGTTAGCATCCTCGTGCACTATGGCAGCTCGCGGTTGAAACATTTTTCTATGACTTTCGAGGAACTTTTTCTTCCGGTCGTTCAGTCTATGGATATTGCTAGGAGTCACCCAATCTCCATCCAGACCTTTCTGTTTCAAAGCAGCCTCTCGCTCTGCATTGCGCTCTAACGCATCCTTTTCCTAAAAACGCGCAAGTAATGGCATATAATACCAACGGCACAAAATTTTTTAACTCTTCGAGATGTTTTGAACTGTTCTATTATTTACATGTTTGAGACGTTTATCGAGAACCGAAAAAAATAGCAATTTTTTTTATGCACTACAACAAACGTAAAAAAATAAATGTCTTGAAATACAAGCTAAATTCTTTTCCAAAAATGCTTGTAGTTCAAAGGAAATGCCCTTATTCACCTTTTGTTCTTTAATAAAGTCTTCAACCACGTCATCTCCCGCAAAAGCCTCCTGGATGAGTTTTTTCTGGCGTTCTTCATCAGCACTGCCCTCAGCTGCGTCATCCTCTTGATCTGATTCACTCTCTGAAAAACCTTCACCTTCAATGGCTAAACTTAAACGCAGCCGCGATCTGAGCTTTTTCTCCGATTTTGTGCCTATTTGCAACACCTTTTCAGGGTCGATAAACACCTGCAAAGCAAACAAATTTAAAAAGCAAAATAGAGTAAGTGGGGCACGCATTCCATTTAGTAACAATGAATGTCTTTACTTTTCGGAAGCGCTCACTGAAGAACACGTGAAAATCACTCCGCTGTTTACTGTATGCTAAGCACGATTGTGCAAATCTCTTTTTCGTCATAATCGTATTATTTGAATGTTCAGTGAAGTTTAGGCTTTTTTCAGCGGCGCATTTCGCTGAGGACGCCCTGCTATCAGTCACCTTAGCACAACCGATTTTTGGTCTACTCACCGCGCTACTGGCCGCCATTTCTTCACTTTCACGTTTTTCACTGAGATTATTACTTTTCTCCTCGTTTTCTTGCTTGGGATTACTAATCTGATTTAAGATTTTTATCTCTTCTTGAGTTTCTTGAGGAGTCGCACGCTGCGTGCTTTCTGATATTAATTCGCTCTCTGAATCGTCGCTTATATCGTCACCACCATCCTCCTTGTCGACGTTTTTGCTATCACGACGAACGACCTGTTTCCTGTTGTGCTGCGCTTTCACGTTGCCATTTTGCTCAACAGGCGACATCCTCATATGCTCCTAAAAGATTTATACAAACAAACGGAGCATAAGAAGAAGTCTTTGGCAAGCGCCTTAATTATTGCTTGCGAAATCACGTGGTCTCATAAAATTAGTGAGGACGAAAATGGTTAGGATATACATTTCAAATCAGCTTAGAGGGTTTACTCACCGGTACCTCCAAAACTCTACCTACGGGAAGCGCTTGTGCTTCAACTTTTTCTCCAGATTCAGCATCCTCTCCGACGTATTTTATTTGTTGATTTCGCGTAGCTTTTGCAGTTGATTCCCCAAAACTTGCCATCTTCGTCATGATGCTTGATGCAGTCTTAATCTCCTCGAAAAAAGTTTTCCTCAGCCATGGATTATCTTCTTGACTTCCATCAGCCTGTTCATCGTTTTCTTGCAGGGATCGTTCAAGTCTGGCCCGTTCTTCCTCTTCCGACGAATCTCTTTCATTTCGGCGAACATTACTGTCACCCTCTGCTCCCTGCAGTTCGTCGTCATTTGCGCTGTCGTTGTCGCTGTCCGTTTTCACTTTTGTCTCCAATTCACGACCCAATTCTATTCGTTCCCTGTAAAAATTTTATGAAGTTGAACTAAGTACACTAAGACCAATTAATTTGTTGTTATTTTTTTTTATTTTACTAATATTTGTATTCTAAAAGGTTAATTTAACTATTAAAATACAATTAACGTACCTGAGCGCAAGTTGAGCGTCTTTGTCAAATTTTCCAGTTTTGGCTAATTGGGTGGCCCATTTACTTTTGCGCTTATGGCGCAACGACACGCGTTCTTCTCGGCGAATTCGCTCCAACTCCTCCAGCTTTTCCAAAGCCTTTTGAGGATCCGTTACCTACAAGCATTGGGTTGAATTCATAATTAAGCACCGATGTACGAAGCGAGCAAATACATCGAAATAATTTTTCTAATGATTATGAGCAACGGTTGACACCAGTCGAAGACTGTTGTCAATAACAAAGGGAAATTCTTCAAAGACGCATGTTGCACTGCACTGTTGATGAACGTATATGAGCTTTAGCTCACCACATTAGATTATACTTCAAAAAAAAAATACAGAATCCAACTCTAGAGGAGATTAGCCGAATTTGCTCAAGTTTGAACTAATTTAAAATAAATAATAAAGTTCTTTATCTGTTTCAAAAATTTGGCCCAGGCTAAAATTTGTTTTTTAGCTTATAAGTCTATAAAATATATCGTAGTTGAAGTAGACGGATGGTTTGTGTACCATGAAACACACCATAAAACACGACTTACTTTAAGGTGCTCGAATTCTCTTATAGCAGCCTTTATCTTGTCTTTCCGGTGGATTTTATGGAACTTTCGACTCTTGATTTTACGCACACGACGATTTCGCAGGGCTTCAGTATGCATTAAAGCACGTAGACGCCGCAATTCACTACATAACTCAAATGGTAGTCAGTTGTAAAGCATCCTCATTAACGAAAAAAAAAACTCATTCGCTTAACGGTTTAATCTTGTGTCTCACGGGTAATATAGGAAAATTAACGGATGGAACAAAATTAACATACTAAGGCGATTTTCGCTGAATATCTGATGTCTATCATACCTTAGTCTGGCGATGGCTTCTTCTTTAGATAAGACCTTCAACTTTTCTTCCTCGAACTGACTTAAGCAAGCATCTGAATCAAGTCGATGCTTACTTGAAGATAACAATAATTCAACTTGAGTTTCAAGGTCGGTAGATGGCTTAAACTGTTTTACGAAATCTCCACTTTGTTCCAGTCTGCAGAAAGTAATATAAACAAACTTGTATTCAGTACAACCATGTCACGTGCGGCGTAAACCTTTATTGTTTTTAAAATCAAATTAGACGGTCAATGGTACAACATCTGTTGTTTTGTTTGCATTAGTACAATCCGTAACATTATAAACTCAACAATCTCTTTATTTACACAAAGGAAAGGAAATATTACATTTATACTAGTTCACTTAATAATAATGAATTTAACTGCTCATGCCCGCACGTAAAGATGTTGATGATAGCGACTCTCGCAATGGTTTCGAGAACGATCGAGCACCTGTTCCGTTCTACATAGCGCAACTCACCTAAGAGGTTCGTCGTTAAGGGGAAAACGAATCTGATCTGCGGACTCATTGTGTTTTACAATCGAATCCCATTTGCCAAGTTCGCTAGTCGTCTTCGCGTATCCTATGGCTCGTTGTAATCGCTCCCGAGAGACCTGTTGTTACCAAAAATGGTATATTGGCAGTTTAGGAAAAAATACGTTAACTGGGAACTAGGAACATCGTAACCTATTAGATATTCAAAAAATCAAAGGAAGTTTAACGTTGATACCTTCGGTAGAGGCACAGGAAGAGCCCTAGCTTTTTTCTTGATTTTCAAGATTTTATTTCGTTTCTTCTTCAGCTTTGCAGTATTGTTAAGATCCTGGAAAACGACAATATTTGCATATACAAATCAGTTAGTAGAATTATTTTTATCCGTTTGTAAAATTCAAATATGGTCAAAATATATCTTTGTCTAAACGTAGCAGGTAAAAAAAATCAGGGTGTATTTCTATTCTATACCGCGACTGCCATTAGTACGCCTATATTTAAGCATGCCTACGCATACTTTTTCGGTAAAAACGCTTGAACTTTCTCAAAATTGATACTGGCAGGTTTACTTAAGTCTCACTTTTGAGTTTTCGATGTGTATCGTTATATTTTATAGCGGTTTAACCTCACGTTAACCTATTAAAGAAAAAAAATGAATGTTTTAACCGCAATAGAAAATACATAAAACAACTTTGCTACTCTTGGTAGGTAGCTATAGTTCAATTTCTCGTCGCCACCAAGTAGATATTTTTTGTTCAAAAGCTACACTTACCTTAAGCATATCATACGCTGTCAGGCCACTCGACTGTAAAAAGTCAAATTCGGAAACATCTTGAGACGCTTCACTTCTTTGCCGAACTTCTCGTGATCCATAAAGTACTTTGACTCTGTCAATCAGTCGAGCGTGACTAAAAGAGAAATTGAACCATGCTAGCGTTCCAGTTATCTTCAACTTACTTATCAGAAAAAGAGTCCCAATGTTTAATAGAAATGGTCGACAATGTAATGATTACTAGCATTTTTATAATCTTCAACACAGCCGCATTAGGCGTATTTGATTGCCTAAAGAAAATAATTTTTTTCCGAACTCTACCGTCCGAAGCCGTCTTAGCTTCGGATCAGAGAACTGCCTTTACCAACATCAAATAGACGCGTTTATTCTAAAATTTTAACGTTAATTATTTGTTCTTAACCTCAGTAGAGAGACATGTTGCCGTTACTATCTCCTGAGTTATCAATAAACTGTTGCTTTTTAGCTGTTGATCTTTTTCAAATGTTCTGTAAAGGTTTCTAATATTTTTCTATCCGTTAGTACCTTTCTTCGTTGATGTCTTCGGTATCCCCAACTTCATCATCGCTGATCTCACTATCGAGGAGATCATCCAATTCTAATTTGTTCATGTTTGCAGATGCACTATAACTAGAGGTTTTGCTCACTGATATATAAATATGAGGTGTGTACGATACGCTTCAAGTTTTCCAGCAAGGTACACAGTTATCTCACCAAAAGCGTCCTTTTCCAAAACTAAATTCGAGATTCTAACTGTTATCCGAATTGTTGCACATGGTTAACAGTAAATAAACACAATTATGAAAATATATCACTATCTGAATATTTCTCCAACAGCATTCGTTGCCAGTGTTTTCTTTCGCACGTGGCGCTTCAGTCCATTTGAGGACGGAGGGGAGGGTTCAGGTAACTACTTGTCAGTGTGTTGCGTTTTGCAGTATAGCTTTATGAATGACAATAGCCATCAACGATCCAATGATATTATAATGTTTTCTAGCCATCTGGCTCTGGCGCATTATTTACTTAATCGGATATTGACTGAGCAACTCCGATCATCCCGCAAGTTCTTGCATCTTAATTCTCGGACGACACCGTTTTCTCGTGTGGCGCGGACTCACACTTAATTCGTAATCCGTTAACAACGGCTGCTAAATAGGCACTGAAACTATTTCTGTTTGTTTATGGCATGTCTTTCACAATTTACTTGCGACAGGTACCCATTAAGTTTCCATTTGCAATCACAGAATTAGTGTCACCAATCACATTTCTTCTAAATTGAAATAGCAGGCCACTATAATATTTGTGTCAAAGCATGGCCTAAAACTATTTGAAACACACGATCTGTATCGGTCCGTTCATACCTAACCACAGTGATATTACTAAAAATACCATGCAAATGTGTATGTTGATTTCAAGTTAAAACTTTCACTTGGTTTGAGTTTCACTTGGTTACTTTCTGTTTATGCGTTTTCAATGTATTTTGTATGTGAGACTTTATGGGCCAAAGTACTGTATAAAAACAATTAACTCAGGCCTTTTTTAGGTCTATTTGTTCTAAAGTCCCGTATGGTTAAGGCAAATCGATCGATTCGTGAGGAGTGGCTTAGTAAGGAAACCATTTAAAGTTGTCGCTTGTTGCTGTCGAAGTTAGCAACAGATAAGGTTTAACACTTCAGTGGTATTAAGTTGACAGCTTGATTGTTGTTTAAATATGTGCGATGATAACGCAAGCTAACTGATGTCATTAAATATGGATACTCTACCTGCTGAAGACATTTTACTGTCCTGTAAAAGTCTCCATGAACTCGAGGCTGTCACGGACCGGTATGTGCAAATGGCAAACATTTTCAAAGGTGAGTTCATGGAATATGCTCTACACATGTTGGGTGATTATCTACTTAACAGAGGGTTTATAGACACGTTGCGACAATATGTAAATTACTTTAAATTTTTATTGCCCGCTCTTATCAGCTTAGCTTAAATTTGAATTCCCAAATAATTTACCATTGTATACAAAAATTTAAATCTCTTATTATGAAAAACACATTATAAGCCAGTCATCATGGAGAGGATGAAGGCAGGAATTTTGATAATGCATTTTGCGAAAATTTTCAGGCTTGCGTTCAACTAACTGTGATCCCCACATCATTCAGCGCATTAAACTTGAACTTCTTGAGGTATTGTTCCGCAATGTATGACCAGATTACGGTATCTGTATTGTTTAACAATGTTATATTTCATATAAGATTACAGTAGTAAATAGTATATTACTGTATCCCATCAAAAAACGATAGATATTTTTCAATATCTTTCAGCTTCGATGGCGAATGTCGTAAAGGAATACCCTATTCACTATGTTTGAGAAATCATTATTTTAGTTCAAAGTCAACAATAGGCCCTCGTTTGCGGTCAGTGTTATACCATCCTGATAAAATCATTGTCATTTTGTTATGTATTTCTTCAATTTACGTCCGCTGTTTTTGTACTGTAAATTCTTTTAAAACCAATGACCGTTATTTTGAACAGCAGATACGTAGCACACGCAGGTGTGTCGATGACCACAAGCAATCTTTGCATGGCAGTGATTCCTTTAGTTCCTAGCGTAAACATTAGTGCAGTGCAGATATACTTTATTACCTCAAGTAGTTTCATTTCTCGAAGGAACGCTTCCTTTCAAAAAATTTGTGCAAAAAAATGGGAAAACATTTTTGTGGTCTCTCCGTGTGTAGCTGAATTTAACGTGTTACTTTGTTAATACAATATTTTTCAGTCACCGGCTGATGTGAAATCAAAACGGCGCAAAAATGGCCTAACAAAATAGCGATAATAGCAATTAAATTATTTAGTATTTTTCAGTAGAGGGAATAAATAAAGGCTGAAGAATATATTATAAATTAGTGACAAACATTGCAGTTCGTATGGCAAGCAATTGGCGGTGTATCTTAAAAGGGTTCTGACCATATTAAAACTTGAGCCGAATTGTTCTAAATAATTATTGAATTTATCTCAATTGAACCTGAACCTTCCAATATGCGGAACATCCATAAGCTCAGGATTATATAAATTTGGGAATTTTAGGATCGCTTAGTTTTAATAGCCCAGCACACACGCGTATGGATATTGCGCTCATTTGATAGCCCATGAAAATAAAAGTAAATGGTAATACAAGTTTCGTTAAGAAAAATTCGCATTTGTACAAGGTTTAATGGTCGATGCCAATTTAATTGTTTTACGCCATCAGAAAATTCATAAACCATACATAAATTTGTTGTAATTCAACTCGACGATCTTCAGACACGTTCGAACCTGTTGAATCTACAAAACACACTAAAGCGGACTGCTCGCCGTGAAGAGGAGTGTCGAGCGATGACTCAGTTTATCAAGAGCTGCCGTTTATATGAAATGGTAATTCATTTTCGCAGTAAAATATTCATCGTTCATCTTGAAGTTGATATACAAAGCACATCGAATGCACTTTAAAATAAATTAAGCTTATGTTTAAGCAGGATTAATAAATAGTATCTTGCATTCATGGCTAAGCCATCATTACTGAGAAGTTGCATGCACGCATGTGAAATCCACAAAAAAGGAATACAGAAACATTTTGCTCTATTTCAGATCGATGACATGTTACTCGATATAGCATTTCAAACGAATGTGGACTCTAAGCCTGGAGCCAGCATTGAACAGCTCATGACTACAAGTGGAGTTCAAAAGAGTTCAATAGAGACGTTGCAAAGTACTGGAGCAGCTGCCACTGGTGCCCTAAAATCGTCTCCAGAACGCCGTGTTACCTCAAAGCCAAAACTTGTTACCAACGATGAGTTAGCTCTAGTTCCCAGGTGCATACTCGGAAAAAATTACAATTTCCGTTATTTTAACACTTAACTTACTAGTATGGGTCAATTTGATCGTTTTCAGCGCGATGTTAATATGTGTACAAAGTACCCATAGGTTTAGTTCTCGTAACTTTATGGATTATAGTTGCGAGTTAGATAGAATTTCTGTATAAAATAGAAATCGACTTCAGATAGCCAAGAGGAATGAGTAAATTCACTGCAGAAAAGATCAGAAATTATTGTACGGAACCTACGTTGTTAGTTTTTAAAATGTGATTAGTTAAAATACAAATCAAATAAATCAATTCAAAGAAAACTAACTACTAAGTCTAGCCAGCAGCAGGTAACACGGGTATATTTTAAAAACTGGAAGGTCTATATATATATATATATATATATATATATATATATATATACAAAAATGATAAGAAAAAGGAAAAACATGCTTGTTCGCTGTCTGCATAATGTTTTAGTATTAAAGAAGGTACATTCGTCTAGCAGTAGAAAGCCTTACTAATATTTTTGATATCTTATTATTGTCACAGTTACCTACGGGGTCGGATAACACTCGATAAGCTGAATGAAACATACGAAATGATTCGTGAAGTGACTGAGCTCAAATATCAGCTCTTTAAGAAGAACAAAAAAACAATAACTACGGAAGAGAGGGAGGCCATCACCCGAATGCGTGCAGAAACTGTACCTACACTTAAGTGCGTATTGGTAGTTATCAAAATCTGCTGAACATTTCAATTGCGTAGTCTGTTAATAAATCCATTAACTTATTCAGCACAGAATCGCGGCGATGGCAACAATGCTAATTGCATGCAACCGTGCGACTATCACAAATTAATATCTAACGAATCAATCGTAAAGCCATTTGCACACCCCTAGAACGACAGTTGATGTATATCTTCAGTGTGAGATTTTAACTCGAAAAACGTTGATTTCAATCGAACCACAGTATCACAAATCGAATTTCCAGATATTCGAGTAACTTCTAATCAAGTTACTCAGAAAAAAAATAGAAAACGGACCTGTGCAAGGCAAATCTATTTTTAGGCTGAGCAGAGCTGTAATTTTACTACTACATACAACTTTTTCGTAACGAATTTCCCTAAAACACTCCTGAAATTCTCCCTAAAAACAGCTTCTATCAGATTGTATTAAATTATTAGAAATCGCTCTATTAGGATTTGTTGTATTCTTTTGCAGTGATCTATATATTTTAGTTGCCAAACGATGAAAAATGAAGTAAATTGTGCATGTGCTTGCTAATCTATATTAGCCATATTTTTCAATTGACGAGAAAATGCAGTTGGCCAATACACAATATGTATATCAGCGTACGTAATGTTAAACTAGCTTAAAGTTTTATCAAAATAAACAGTTTAGTTTTTATTCTTATTGTTTCCAGAGGACAGCGTTTCATCACGGTGGCTGATATTAAATTTTTCAAAGACCGCATGATGCCAAAAGCTACTCTGACCCATTTATCGATCCTACGGAGTTTGCATCGGCTTTACGAAATTAGAGATAAGAACGTTCTGCGCATAGTTATCGCGATTTGAACAAGCAAGTAAAGAGAAAAAGATGGGAAATCTCATTCATTTTAGCATTTTTTTAGGGAAAATCGATTGGGGACTATATTGTTGTCAGACATTTCTTGTCAGAATTGGAGCGAGTAATAGATTTCAGTCTCACTTCGACAAACAGCACGAATTGAGTCTGTATAGCCAATAGGATATGGGAGATTGCCTAGAAATTCCCTTACATCGTCATAACGTATATATACGGTTATATGACTATTGGTAATTTACTGGAGATAAGCTGACAAAAAATAGCTTGTTTTAACCAACTGTATTTGTTTATGTGTGAATGGAAATTAAAGATTAACAAAGTACCAAGTTTTATTATTTACAGCCAACATGAATAGCATAAATCCACCTTATTTGTATTGTTTGCTTGGCAGTTTCAACGATGAATTAACTACATGATTTTTTTTACAAATTTTGCTTAATAGATTTATTGAACAAGACTTTGTCTATTATGCATTTTATTAGTATCGCCTTTTGTGGCGCTTCGACTGTAGCCTGAATGCACTAAAGCGCTGTTGGTCTATTATGCGATGTTTTTATTTTTCGAGGAGTATTTTTATATAAATAAGTCGGTTGGTTGTTTGAATGGCCGGCTTGTGAATGCGCGCACCTTCTTATAATTATTATTCAGCAGTAAAATTTATTGCAACTAACCCTAAAGATTTTTGTGCCGTCGACGCCTCATTGGCACGCCTTCTCTATTAGGTAATTTGACACAAAACATGAGGCCATAGCGAAAAAGTCGGCAGAATTTTTATCGCTGTCTGTTTTGGTCGAGATGAGCCTAAAGTGAAGGTAAAAAAAACGCCGTTGCTTCTTTTGATGTTTTAACGCGTATTCGAACACGTGGTTTTACTTTTTTAGCATTAAGGTAATCATACTAGGCTATTTTTGATGTATTCAGTGCGTTAATAAGCTTGCTGCGGTGTGTTTCTTCGGAAACGGTTCAGCCCGTGCCTAAGATAGAAACTAGACATATAGTCTAGCTTTTTAATCTTGTCATCGACAGGCCATCCTTGGAAAATGAAATTTTAGCTTGGTTTATATCCTTTATGAATTATGTATGGTGCTATATTCAGCTTCATTCGATATTTTAATGTAAGTGGTGTCTTTTACTATTTTATAAACGGATTTGTTTGTATGTATAGACAATACAATCCATTTCAACCACTATGGCATAACGAAAATTGGTAGTCACATTAGATAATATTTAACGGGCTTTACTTGATTATTCGCAAAACTATTTACATTAGTGAGTAGTTTACTTGTGCAGAATGGCCAATTGTTTCAGGATAAAGTGTAAATCCTTCAGGCTTTTTTCAGGTTTTGTAATACAGCAAACACATCTAAAAAACACGTCACACTTTCATTAAATGATTGTCCAATTTCGATTTAAGCATATGAAGTACATGTCTCGAATTCGGCATCACTTCTTATTGTCGTTCTTTCTGTCTGTAGATTTTAGTTGTCTGTAGATTGTAGTTGCTTAGCGTGCAGTAGCATCGGCTCCATCAAAGGTGTAAATATTTTTGTATTAACATTTTTTTTTTATAAAAGAATTAATGACGTGGCATCAACTGATGATGCTATAATGAGTCATATATAAATCATACCTATTGTATATATTCAGGGTTTTTGTTGATACTAGCGGATAGCTTTTTCAGAGCAATTATGTTCACCAACGAAATTCACTAAATAACGAAATTATGAAATTTGATACGCATTTAGTATATGTAGTCCATAAATCTGCCATGCCGTATTTGTCGGACTATTTAAACACTAGATACGACCTTTTCCATTTGATCTTCTAGGCTCTGAAGTTTTTTTTATACCTGCGTTTAATTATGTTTTGACCATTGTTCCGTATGCCTTCCAATGAATAAGCTTGCCAGGACTAATGTACGAGAGCTAAGATAGCTATACACTAGTTTAATCGAGCTATAGATTACATTACCCCATCTATATTTTATAATTCATATCTGTGTATGTGTTGATTTGTTCGTGTAAAATGATTGTAGCTTTGGTTATCCTTTTTATGGGCTGCTAGCACAATGCCATCCTGATGGTGTTGATGCTATTATAAGGCAAAATGAGCACTTATTAGTAGTTAGCGCTAAGTTTGATTAGTTCCAGACGTCTTTGCGTTAGTGTTTTTGTTGGCATTGCGCTAAGAATTTTCAAAATGTTCATATAATTGGTTCTTTCTTCAGTTCTGAAAAACTGATTTTCTAATAGCTAGGTAGTCCCGAATCTAGTATTATTTTTTAAAAATGTTGAGGAGTTTTCAAATATGCCACACATTGTATAAAAAATTAGTGAATCGCGGAAAATTCAGTGCAACTGGAAAACGCGGTAAGTACCGAAACGAACCGAAATCAATGTTTTATAAAAAAAAACAGTTATTGAACATGATAATAGGACGTTGACGATTCAGTGAGTGTACACCTATCTAGTCTGTGTTTGACAGTGAGAGAAACGCGGAGTTCACGCGCAGTTCACGCGGCGCAATCACATTTGTGCTTGCGCTTGGGGTTGGTCGTGATACATTTAAGAAAAAACAAGACAGATAAAGTACAATGGGAGAACAGGACAATTAGAATTGGAAAAGGTTAAGACTTGAACATTCACTGACAAAAGCTGGTAGAATGTATGCGCCAAGATAACTGAATCACTAGGCCAAGGTTCAGGAGATTTGCGGACATGTTTAGAATTGGAACAAAGTTGCACAAAAGATTGCAATGAGATGACTATAGAAGTATATGCGCGCATCAGTTTAGTGCAAGCCGATTATAATATTGCAGAAAGACCGTGCGTTTTTAAAATCCCTCCAGTGGGAGAGCGAGTTATTGTACTTTTTTTGTGGAAGTTGAGGTGCAATGTGTTTGCAGTTTACGTTAAGCCAGGTGTGACATTTACCAGCCCAGTCAGTTAAATCAATCAAAGGCAAAACAGGTATATGGCGAAGCCCTCTGGTTTGTCCGACAATTTCTTGTGGTTTCTCAGGAGACACTAGTAGTAAATTTTAGTAGCCATAGATTCCGCAATTAGGAAATACAGATATTATGGAGAAATGAAAAGTGTTTTAGGATCCGTGCTACTATAGATTAGAAAACGAATAATCAGCAATAAGGCCTACACTCAGACACTAAACTTCTACTCGTTGTACGGTAAACACTGTGTCTCTTAGAATATCCTAAAATCCTCTCTCAGTGTAATTTAATGGCGTGGACTATTGCAGCCGCTGATTTGCTCCTATTCATTCTGGCAAGAAAGTGCCAGAGAATACCATTTCGTAACTCCTAAATGTATGAAGAACGCTTATGTTAATAGCCTACCCCGAATAGGCATACATAAAATGTAGGCGCAACGCTTGTCTATGAAGAAACAGAATTTTGTGGTTCTACCGGAAAATTTTAACAAAAAATGCGTAGTTATTAGAAGCTTCGCCTTTTAAGTGGCTTGCGCTTTCCATCCAAAGTAGTTTTCGGCTTTATACTGACCCCGCAATTATGAATTAATTCTTGTTTGGTTGGGTTAACATTTCTGGCTCGTAACTCGTTGGCTTGTAATTAAACTCTCCTCTGCGCTCTTATTTCCGACAACAAATTGACACGGAACTTTTTTACGATCTTACTGAAGGAGCAAGAACCGCGTACTTCTAGCCCTGATCAAGCCAACACACTCTTTCTCAGACGGAGGAGAGTCCTCGACCTGCTCTCCCCTGATTGTACTCTCCCTATTGTCTCTAAGGCTCAGCTAATATGTTCGTTTTCAGTGTCGTTAGTTACTGTGAAGGTTGATCGCTAGCATGTTTGTCTATTAAGGACACGTGGTACTGTAAATTCATACTGTTTCATGCTGGAAAGCATTTAGCAGCATTAAATCAGTGCATGAAAGCGAGCAAGACTACGATTTTTAATATCTGGTACTTAACGTGGTGGTACTTGTGTGTGTGTAATGCAATATCATAGTATTACGTGCTCACTGTGTTTCAGTGACGAAAATAGTTGATATTATCTTCTGGATACTCGTTGGCGGATTATTTAGTCACTTATCATGGTCGTAACGGTATGGATCGAAACACTCAGTTCGGTGGAACTCACAAAACACAAGTAAAAAGTGACTTTTGCAGTAGTGCGTTATTCGCGAGATAATAAGATATGAATAAATCGAAGACACGCATGCGGTTTAAAGTCAAGGCACATTAGTATTATTGGTTTTTTAGTTATCATTGCTAACGAACGTTTTAATCGTATTAAGTATGTTATATATCGTGTATGTTGCTTGACACAACCTTATCTGCGATTTATTTGGTGAAAGTAGCTATGCCATGAACTGCGGCTCGGGGTCCATGGAATTGATTTATTTGATGATGAGTGAGTTTGGTTCTTGCAATTGAGGAGTGCCACCAGATATTATTTTACTAAATATATAGCTGGCTGGAAAAAATGGTCTCATTCAAACTGCGCCTCGAGGCACTACTTGACCCGGCAAAATTAACCGAAGCAGACAGCCTTGTTGGAATGTTTGCAGTGATATTTATTATTGTCTTTTCCTCGTGGTCTGCCGTCGTCTGTTACCGAATGTTTGTTTGTGTCTTTTAGCGTATTTGTTATCGTTGTATCAATAATTCAGTGGCGACGACGACAATTCAGCTGCAAGTGTTTCGATCGTTGCAAATGTCCTTCTTAGGCAGCCAAGCCTCTAACCTACGGAGCATATAGGCTAGCAGACAACGAACCAACAGCCGCGGACCGCCATTGCAGTAGTAAATGGCAGAAGAGGCCGTAACAGCAGCAGGTGTAATTGGTGCTGCCTGGCTTTCCTCTATAACCATTACCAGCACGATTACGACGGCCATCATTATTCTCTGCTCTGCTAGCCAAGATGGCAGCCATCGTGTGCGGCGGTAGTAACCGTGGCAAGTAGTTGTTGCTATCGTGTGTGAGTGGCAAGAAGGAGTATAAGAAAGGAGTCTCCTTCCTTCAAGAAGAGCCCAACCGTCGCACGGAGTTGCCACGCGAGTCGTGGCCGAAGGGTTACTAGCACAAAATACGACAAAATGGTCCAAATTGATTATAAATAGTGTCATGACACCACGGCGACGATGACGACGGCAAGGACCGCTACTAGCAACTGCATTTAGTGGTTGCTGAAATTAACGTTCTGTGTACCCTACCAGTCGACCATCGGTGGTCCTTGTGAGCCAAAAACCAAATACCACCAACTTAAACAAACAGACACTTTCTCTTATTTGATCCGACATTTTGTACCCATTTATTTACTACAATTATTTAAGCGAAGCCTCTCCGATAGCGTGTACACACCCGCATCGCTGATTCAACACGCGCTCTGGTTCATGGCTGGAGAAATTTGTAGGTGTTCGTCAACGACTAGCACCGATTACTCAACCAAGTGCAACCATTTTGCTAGATTTACTGCTTTGCTACTACAGTTTGAATAGAATAGCTCTAATAACAACAATCGCATCTAAACCCTATAATTGCTGCCCTTCCGACGCACGAGTGCTACATACATTTATGTACTATAACTGGTGTCGCCTTGTTGTAGTTTTGAGGAAATGATGCAGTTCTGCTGAAGTAGGTGTCTAGGTTTGAACTTCTGCTTCACTTTTGCGTGGGCACACTAAAAGCAATTAGGGTTTACGACGAAACCGTTTTATCAGCTAAGTAAAGAGAAGTTCTCATGTGTTTGGGTGTCTATAAAGAAAAATAAGTGTTCTGTCGGGAGTCGTTTGTAGTATCGTGTGATAGTAAAGCTGACGATAGTGATAGGCTTTGTTGCCTTTGGGTCTTCTAGGTGTATGAGCATGGGAAACTCGCCAAAGCGTGCTGTGGTTAGAGTACGATCTGATTTATCTTCGCTATAATTACGAGATCGAATTGGTGCTTCTATTTGTATTACTAGTGCTATTGCCGCGAATTAAGTGTGCGGGTACCGTTAACAACGGAAAATTTGAGGTTTCAGCATCGGTAGCCACAAGTGGTAAAACGGACCTAATCTACAATTTGATCTGTTGGTAACAACAACAGTCCTATATCTCCCAACATCATCCCCACCCTCATACTATTCAACATTGAGTGCACACGAGTACTACTACATCAGCAACAGCAACATCATCAAGCAGGATGAGTTTCTTCACGAAGCTCTCTTCCCTCGTCCGTAACAACTCCATCAACAAGGTACCAACGATCCCATCTTCAATGTACACTTCACGAGGTGTTTCACGAAGTGTAACTCTCCCTATCCGATGACTGAGAATAGAGAGCACGAGGGCAGGTCAGATGACGATCGATGCATGCGCTGTTCGGCGTTGCGTTCATTCTCTGCTCTCAACCGCAATGAATTGTATCAAGTTGTCTGTTGGGACGAACAGCGAAAGAGCCTTTTTTTGTCTGTAAAAATATCAAGCCGGTAGGGCCGTGCACGAGGGAAGTCTAATGAAAATCAGTTTAACTAAATCATAGTTTCATTTACAACCTGCAAAGTAATGCAATTAATATGGCTAATCAGGTCGCACACAGCATGACATTCAACGAAGCCTCGTGAATTCTGTCTATTAGTAACTCAACAGCGTAAACAGGGAACGACTTGGGACCGCTATAATGAATCTAGACTAATCATCGATTTGATTAGAGTGAATTTACCTAGAAAGAAAATGGGCTTGCTATTGATTTTTCACTTAGCGTTCTTATTGCATACCCTAACACCGCAGATAAAAATAAACCGCAGATAAAAATAAACCTAAGTTGCTCGTGAAGTCCCAAATTTACCCCAGTTTACGGTTCCACTTTCAGCACTGTTAATTGTGACTCCATTCACCTAAGGTACTTTCCAATTTCTATTCGACTTCGGTGGGGATTTTTAATACGGTTTTATTGCCGCTAGAATATGAGACAGTCATTCCCAGGTCTCTGTTAAGGTGTTTATGGGCTTTGACATACCCGTTCTTAAACCTTTGATAAACCTTGAGTGTGTCAATCTACCTTTGCGACTACTGATAAAAAGCTGATCGTTGTTGGTCTATGTGCCACCGTCCATCTGTTCGGTTACTTGGAGCGCGTGTATCTCCAAATGGCGTGCTTCGTGCAAATTACAACGGCTCGAGTTATCACAGTTCATGACAGTATTTAATGGAGGATTCATCCATTCGACCTAGTCCTAATTTAGCATTTTTAATAATCTTCTCTCTTGGGCAGAGATATATCGAGAGGAATATCGATTTCTTGGTTTAAAATGCTGACGAAATTGGCTGGTTGTTGATTGGCAAGATGCATGAGAAAATATAACTTGATTAATTATTCGACTACTAGTGTTTGCCACTGAGAACCAACCGACTATCATGCAATTACTTGGACTCTCATTTATCACGCTTTGTAGTAGGTTGTCGACTTCAAGCTCCTATTAGGCGTAAAGCCAATTGATTTAATTAACAAAAAAAAAACTCCCTTGGCTCTCAAGCGGCCCAATCGGAATCCTTAACCAATACGATGCAGTTTTTTCTCAACAAGTAAGCTTGCTCTCCAATGCTCCCGAATAAGAAAACTGGGACTATAGTAAACGCTTCGGCCGCTCAAAGCTGTTCCGCGTGTTTTTAACCTGGAGGTAAAAGATAACTTCGACTGCAAGCTGTTGTTATTCGCTCAATCTGAGTTAGTTGGCCAGATCGTAGACGATACATTTTTGGCCTACCCATCTATTGTGACGTGTGCCTGTTTACTTATGATATTATTATATCATTATATAATTTATGTTACGGTTCAAGTTTCTGCATGTATGCCCATCAGTATAGGAAAAAATCAAGTTTATTACTTGCTTTTTATTATTACGTTACTTGTTAAAAAAAAAATGTTGCTGATCTGTAGTAATGCCCAGTTAAACTAAAAAATCTCACGGATGATACGCCAATCTACATATTTAATCCCTACTAAACCTTGAAAATGGCAAACATCATAGTGTATTTACCACAAACAAACCAGGGAGCCGATAGCGCAGCAGTGCCGTTGTGGCAGACTAAATGATAGCAATAATTAGCAGTACCTCATTTTTATTAGCATATAGCATTACCTAGCACAAACTCAGGCGTTACATAATAATGCAACTAAAATTCGATTAATGTATGCGTCTATCAAAATTTAGCTTTTCTGAATATACGTAAACACAAGTTTGGCATAAACAGAGTTCTGTATTTTTAAGTCAACTGGCTGAACTCAAATCCACATTGCGGACTCGTTTATAATTAAGAAATTCATTGATACATGCTTATTTAATTAGATCTATTTCGCTGTATTGCCCGTATTCTCTGTCTGAACGATTTCCTAACTTAACATTTCGTGTGTCATAAAGCGGATTCTTCAACTTACTTCACCCAGATATAAAGTATTTCAGCTAAAAAAGAAATTTGTTGTTCTAATATTGTTGTTAATGTTGTGTAAATGATAGTGTTACGCTAACTTCTCAATGACTTGCAAAAAAACCTGACATATAAGCAATTATGTAGGTATTGTATTTCTATGTGTTCATAAGGTGTATAGTCTAATCAAAACGAATCTAGTTAATTTCACTTATCTGAGCAGCATGAGTCCACTCTAGAATGAATTTGTTGATAATACATATCGAAAGTACAATTGTGTAAGTCTGTTACCTGAACTGAACCGGTAATAATTACAAAAAAGGAGCAATGAAGGTCGGCTGTTACAGCACTTAAAGAACTACATTGGCATCGTCGGCTGTTGAATAATATGTGAAACTGTAGTGAGTACTGTGAATTTTCTATTATGTTTCAGTAGGATGCCACATTTAAATATTGAAACTATTCATTTGCGAACTGCACAGGCCTCTCGCTACTTCAATGTGAACCAACTGAGTTTGAAAGAAATAACCTAGTGCACTATGATGCTAGATAAATCGTAAGACGCAGTAGTGTTTCTATGTGTGATTTTTCATAAAAAGGGGGAAGGTTCTTTCCATTAATGAAAGGTATAACCATTTTGGATAGGACCAGTCGAAGCCAAGAAAAAATATGTGGCCATCTTAAGCTATATGTAAATGCAGCTACAGACCAAAGGCACTAATCAGTTCATTATTTGTGTGACTTTTGTATGGTGTACAGAGTGCCAATTCAATTTGCGAACCGATGTAATGATTTAGTTTTCCATATTTTAGATTCTAATGCTATGTTAAGAAAACACTTGAACCTTACCGACTGATACAACTTAATACTGTAATAATTCAACTAGACCCTGACTGAGTCTGAGAACACGATGTTGAAGGATGGTTTTGTCGATCTTAGTATACATTCTTCGCATTGAGGAATTCCTCTTTGAAAATTCTTCGTCAGTCTGGTTCTTTTAATGTGTTGCACACAATTTTGTCTTGTTGAATGGTTTTAAGATATGTGGAACAGTTTGGCTTTTTTATTACATCAATATTTTCATTAACAATGTAGTTAATAAAATAGGACATTAGCAAAAAACGTTTAAAAACATTTCGCTGATGATAGGTGTTTATTATTATTAGTTATGAAAATCTATTAATGTTTTTGTATGTATAATAGCATGATCAAGGATACATCGATTGACATGATTTATTTATGAATGTGGCATGTCTACCTATAACACTTGCACTATCGTTGCATCAAAATGTTTAGTCATTTCTTGAGGAGATCGAACGGTAGTTTAAATTACTCGTTCAAAGCTAACCCTTAATACTTGTATGGCTTTATAGGACGGTCCAACGAGCGATGACCTCGCAACCGAAAAAAAGCGAAATAAAGTTGATTCAGAAAAGAGAAAAACAGCAGAGGCTGATATAACCTCAAAGGAAGTTGTCAGTAAAGCAGACAATGAAAATAAGTCAGATGGTACAGGTTCTGGCAGCTATGAAAATGAAGACAATGAGGTCGGGGTAGCGGCTACTTCACCCATAGAAACTTATGATAAGAAAGGCCAAAACGTTAGCTCAATAACAACAACAACAACAGAACTGACGTCTTCTAAAGTTTCGGCTAAAGACGACAAAGAAGCGAATACGCTTCAAGCAGCGGTCACATCCTCTTTACTTGCTATAGAGAAAAATAACCAGAAAGACAAAATACAGGAAGAAATTGTCGCACCCATCGTTGTCGAAAGGAATGAAGTACAGAAAATTATACTAAAGTCGTCGCGTTCAAGAAGTGCTACTGAGAGTGACAAGTGGGGTGCATCTGCAACCCTGGAAATCATTTCGACGCATAGTGAGGTGGAGGATACTGCGGCCGATAAAGTCGTTACATCATCCTCTAAGACTCCTCTTGTTCAAGTTAGCAACACAGAGACTGACAACAAGAAGAACGTACTGTCGCCATCTACACCCGTTATCGATACTGTAACAGAAAACTCCAAAGAACAAAACGGGCAAAAAGAAGATAGCGATGCCGCTTTGTCGAAATCGCTCCTAGACGGTGTCGCTGATGCCCATAAGAAGTACAGTGTAGAAGGGCCGGAGGACAGTTTAGAGCAGAAGCCTACTATTTCGTGTGAAACACATAACGACCTCACAACCGTAAACGATAACGTACTGCTTCATTTGAAGACAGAGCAAGTTCCAGTGAAAACACTTTCTGCCAGACAAACTGATGAGAGGGACGATGCGGCGCCTGTGAATTACCTATCGGTAGACTTAAGGTCGGTAGATTTAACGGCAGAAGATAAACGGGCCACTGCCGATAATTCTGGAGCATGCATCGAAAGACAAAAGCAGAATGCCGATCCTGCTAGCTACGGAGTACAGAAAAAGTTTACATCTGAAGATGTACTCGAACAAGCTCACACCGACGAACTTTGTGGAGTAACTGCTAAACGAGAAGAGTTGTTGCCGACAGAAACTCTAGCGCATAAATCAGAACTGCTTACAGGAAAAAGTGCTGAGGAATTTATAAGACAGACGATTAAGTTACAGTCCGCTTGCAAAACTACTTCACCCTCTGGTGAGATGGACGACAAATCAAAGACGGAGACCACGGAAAGCGATACACAGAGTACTTCCTCTACAGCAATTGAGGATAGTAAACAGCAAAAAACAGAACAATCCGCTAGAAGCAATGCTGAACAAGAAACAGCAGCTGCTCCAGCTACACCTAATAATCTAAAGATCGTGAAAAAACTTGCAGATGATGGTGACACTGCGACCCGATTAGCGGAGGAAAAGAAAGTTGAATTGAGTTTCAACGAAGCCGTAGCAGAGAAGGAGAATGTGACTGATGGCAAACAGACGTCAAAGGATGAAAAAACTGACCTGATTTCGGTGGAGCAAATAAGCTCAGTTCAAGCTATCAAGGAAGCTAGTCATTTAATTGAGTCAGAGAACGTCGGTGCGGCTGTACTAATTACTGAAAGTACAGAGCCCGCAACTGTTAAGGTTTTCGAGCCCAAAAGTGAAAGTGTAAAAGACAATACTGAGCCTGAAGGCGGAAATACAAAAAAGAAATCTGAGCCTGAAGAAAAAAGTCTCAAAGAGAAAACTTCGGTGGTAACCGAAAATGAAAACCAGAAACCAGCTGCCCATACGTTGGGCGGATCGCCTAAATTTGCCGAAGCTGTCAAAGACGAAGCAGCGGTTGACGAGGGAATTGTAGAAAATGGTAAATGTTATTCTGATGTAGTTTCCCTATAACTTCTAGGTAATTGAATGTCGTATTGTATATGTCCATGCAGATTTTAATCACGCTTTGTGTTAATCGCATGCCGATATATTGTTTTTTTCTGCAGGGGCGGAGGACGATGGCGAGCACTCGTCAGATTTTACAGACGAAGAAGTAGAGCCCCCCGAAACTGAAAGCCAGAAAAGTGTGGCGGCTTCGGGCGATGCCGGTAGTAACAACAGGAAAGCAGAACCTGACGGAAATCACGATGAAGCACACGATGACGAGGATGTGGGAGAGGATCTGGACTTCGACGAGGACAAGAGAAATCCGCAATACATCCCGAAGAAGGGTGCCTTCTATGAGCACGACGATCGTCGCGGAACTGATGACGAAAGCGATGAAGATACTACCGGTGGTGCAAGAGGTGAGGATGGGTCGAAGGCAGGCGACGGAACGGAGTCTGGAGCCGGCGGTGCGGGAGGCATCGGCGGACGTGGCGATAGCCCCGAACTTTGTGGTCGGGGTGGTCGAGCCCCGAAAGTACTTCAAAGTGAGACCCGTGACCGTTGGGAACATGACCTATACGACGCCTCGGAGCAGGGACCTAAGAGTGTAGACGAGCTGATTGCGCAATACGGTTACGATATCCGCGACGAGTCAGCGGCGCCGCGCGCTGCTAGACGCCGTAAGTACGGCCGTGGTCCGAACAAGTATAGTCGGGATTGGCAAGACGAAAAGGCCTACCACAGCCGGGCTACCCACGGCGGCCAGGAGCGCCACGAGCGTCATACCGGCAGAGAGGGAGGAAGAGGGGATAACAATAAGGAATACCACCCACGGAAGGATGATTTCCCTTGTTTGAACACTGCATCACAGCAGCAGCAGCAGCAGCAACCACAACAACATGCCTCGAAGGATAAGGATCATGAAAGAGAGAATCGAGACCACGGGGGGGCAAGCCGAAGTGAGCGTGGAGATACTAGAGATAATCGCCGTGAGAAGGATGCCCCACGCCGAAGTGACGGCGGCAACAAACACGAAGTACAGAGAAGAGAACTTCCCAAAAAAGGTTAGCGTAAGCACTAGCATGAGCTCTTCAAATATACCCCCGTCTTTATCTTTATCTCACTTACATTATCATTAACCACAACTAATGTAATCTGCTGGTGATGGCAGTCGTTTTCTCGTGAAAGCTATGCCTCTAACTGCCTTGTCATAGTTTATTTGACACAACATGTATCTGTTTAACGTTACCATGAATGCGGATGTGTATCTTAACCTCTTTTCCTTGCTGTGTTGTTTACACACTTTATTCCTTAATGCGGCTCTATGCGGGATTGTCTCTCAATTGTAATACAACTTCGTATAAACGTAGACCCGATAGGGGGCAATGGGCCCTCTTATCCAACCACTGCCTATCCTTTTACGTGGAGCCAACGGGCGAGCAGTTCAGCCAACCCCGCGCAGTCTCTAGGGGGTGCAGATGCTACCGACAATACAACGTTGAGCCATGAAGCGAACACGTCCTCTTCCATAACCCAAACGGCAATGACAACGCATAATATCAATACAACGACAAGCACAGCTGCAGCAGCTGCAGTAGTAGCAGCAACAGCTGCTGCTGCAGCAGCTAGTGCCGCAGCAACGAGCACAGCAGTACCAAAAGTCTCTGCGGCTTTAGTGTCTACAGCCGGCACGCAGCCATCTGAATCCCCAAGTGGCCACAAAGAGCCACCAGCAGCAGGTGCAGGAGGACCGTCGCCTTATCAGCCAGTTGCAGTGCGTAACGAAAGTCTATTCGAAAACGCGTCGCTGACTGCTGCTGCTGCAGGAGGAAACGAGCGCAGTTTCAACGGGAACCGTGGCGTCTGGGACAGGGCAAATCGAGATGCTGACGAACAACAACCACTCGAATGGCGGAGTGGCCGCGGGGCTGACAGTTACGGAAGCCGTGGTGGACATCATGGAGATCGGAGGGACAGGGGCGATCGAGGTGGGGAGAGAGACCGCGACTACAATGGAAGCGGTCGAGATTATGGCGGAAACGGGCGAAATGGGGGGGGTCAGGGGTATTACGATAGGGATTATCGCAGGGGTGATCGTATGGATCGAACAGATCGGGACCATAACAGCGGGTCGCGGGGCGGCGGAGATGTGGGTCATCGCGTGATTGGAGGCGACCGTGACCGGTGGAGAAATCAGGGCTCGGGACGATTTGGTGATCACCGTAGCGGAGGTTACGGTAGGTGGCGGGAACGAGACTTTTCACTGAACTGAGTGATCAGTCAACTGCCAGATTGTGCCTGAGCTTCCTAGTAATCTGGGGCACGTTGTGAGAACCCAAGCGGTGTAGTATTTGTGATATTCGCATGCTTAGCTTGGGTATCAGTTTGTATCATATAGTGCTTGAAAAAGAAATACTTCTCGTTGGGTAAACTTACAGCGTTTCAGATTTAGATTGCAGCTTTTTTGGTTTACAAAAGAGGAATTGGCATATTAGAATACATCTAAATATTCTCGAATTCGATCTAAAGACAAATTACCTTGCGGAGTGTCCTCTGCATGCGCGGCAACGGACAGCTCCGTTTGCTGTAATCAGCACAAAAAGTATTCCTTATATCTGATTTTACTTTTTTATATGGCATCATTGTAAAACACTCATTTAATTGTTTATTGACGAAATTATGCACAATGTCTTGTCAAGTATCATGGCGTTGATAGTGCTTACCTTTCTCCATTTGATAGCCTTATAAAAACCATTAAGCCTTTTATCCTTATTTTCAACAATGCTAACAGACCTGAGACACAAATTGGACAACAACCGAAATAACGATCGTTTCGATTCGCGTGGCGACAACCGTCGGGACAATCGAGGAGGTCAGCGTGATATCTTTGGAGATAGTCACAATGGTCATTCGCGTGGTGGTGGTGATAGTTATCGGGATAATTACCGCGATAGCAACAATTATAGAGATTCTCGTGATAATTATTCAAGAGACAACAATCGTACGGGCGGTGGAGATGGTCACGGTTACCGGGATTCTCGCGATGGCGGTTACCGAGATCGGGCGGACCGTGACCGTGAACGCGATCGTGATGGGGGTAACACGCGGGACCAGAGAGCGGATAGCAGCTATCGCGGCAATAACAATCGTTCTGATAACAACGGAAGGGATTCCGGCTACAACCAGAGTCGGAGTGACAATAATCACAGGGAGAATTGGCGGGAAGGTCGCGATTCGTACCGCGAAAACTTTCATCGAGACCATGCAGGAGGAGATACGGGCCATCGCGAAAACTTTCAGAAGGATGGCAGTAGTCGCGGAGGATCCGATGTTCGGGATATACGAGGAGGCAATCGGTCGGATCCCGGCAGAAAGATCGGCTCAGGAAGAACACAAGATCCTCGAGCAATCCGAAAGGGGCAACAACAACATCAACAACAGACACAACTACAACAACAGCCGCATCAAATGCATCAGCAACAGCAACATGAGCCTACTACAAACAATAACAACAACAATAATATTAATAATATATCTGGTGGATCAACAGGGCACCAGGGAAAAACTGGGGATGCCGCTCTTGACCGAAAAATCGTCGATGAAAAGCGGCAACATCAACAGCACATTCAACAGCAAAGTAAGCCTATAAGCTACTCTGTAATACATTCAGATATATATATATATATATATATATATATATATATATATATATATATATATATAATATCCAAAAACAATATATATATAATATCCAAAAGAATTTGTTTTATTTGATTACCATTAGCTTTCATCGGGCAGCTTAGTTAACTTGTTCAAGAAACCGTGGATGTATATGATCTTTCAATTTTGGGTCTTGTACATTGTTTCCCGTTGATTTTCTTCCAGATGCTACAAATGTGAGTGAAAACAAACGGTATACTGCACAAAGAGCCGCTACAAGAGCGGAGTACGGTGCAAATCAGGTACCGGCCAGCCAATCGCAACCTCTGCCTCCTCAGCCGCAGCATCACGCGCCTGCTACCCATCAGCCTATGGCATCAACCCATCCTCATTCTAACCATAATCCGCCACCACCGCCTCATGCAGGACAGCAGCATCCCGCCTACTATGAGGTGGCGCCACCCCATGGCCATCCGCCCCCTGGGGCGTCCTACTTCGTCTCGCAGGCGTTTGATTCCGGTGCTGTACCAACGGGAGCACCACCGCAAGGATTTGCGCCTGCACCGTTTATGGGTCCACCACCGCCATTTATCACTTCGCAGACACACGCTGCTCCGTTCATGATGGGCGGGCCAGTGGCCCCCGATGGCTCAGTGCACCATGGTCCACCCCATGGGCATCACCATCCCAAAGCACAGCTGATTCCACCAAACGGTGGAATTACGTATTTCTCACCACAGCAGCAAATGTATATCTCGCACCAACAGAAGCCTCCCCAGCCGAGGCCGAAGGCAATCATACCTATCGTACCACCTCCAGATGCGGCCAATCATAAGAACTCAAACGCATCAGCTGTCGCTAGCGGAGGCAATCCTGCTGGAAATTCTTCTGGTGGAGGACAAGGCGGCCCCGAACCTGGCGCAGCTGCGCCAGCCCAGGTAGAAGCCTAAACCCATCGACAGAGAAGCGTAGGCAAATATTTGCGGGTTGCATCAACAAAGATCGAACTAGCGCACAGCCGATTCTATATATTTAGCAGATGATTACTATTGTCAATATTCTTGCAGCAAATTTAGGTGAAGCAAAGGTACGGGAGAGAGGAAAGGAGTAGCCAGGAGAGGGTTATAGTCGGTATGATGCTGCGCATGAAGACAATTACCCCTCTAAGTACTCATCCGAACATCGAGCGCCAGTCAAGTTCGTGGTATTGGTTTGTACTGGTGAATGTTTCGTGAGTAATGAAGTATGAGCAAGCACAAAATCACGTCAAATAGTCATGAAGTTAATTCCTTTTGGCATGATCGACTTAAGATCGTGTCTGGCACGCTAGACCAAAATAAGGATTTTACTTTTTATTAATCGGCAATTACACCGAAATCTTAGAAGGGAGATCACGAGTAATGGCTACGGAACGCGAGTAGCGTAGAAAAAGTACAAGTCAGTGTGGCCGCGCCTGATAACAGTCTATCTATATAAATACATTATTACTGCTATAATGGGTAAAATTAGCTAGTAGTTAGTTCCAAATGTCATTATGCTGGGCTCGGATATAAATTTAGGTATACATTAAGAAGGCGAGCGAGAATGAAAGAGAAAAGAGAACGCAAGACAAACGAACTGAGTGAAAAGTAATGAAATAAGCTTACACAGGTTTACGCACGCATGCATTTTCATATCTACAAAATACGAAAAACACTGTAGTTGGACACATTTTAGAAAAACTGACATCGAAATAGTCTCTGTATGTTGTAACTTTGATTAGAAAAATGTACCCTCGGGCATGACCAATAACACCAAGCTCATAATCTTATTTGATGATAGAGTACAATTTTTCGACGCTTTTTTCACACGCCTATCACTATGATTACCTATAATTTTATTCGATACAGACAGCCAAAACCTGGGATTCGGGCTATTGTCTACTAGTTGGTTCATAACGTCGATCTAGTCTAGGCAATGGTCTTCTGTCCGTTTGTGGAGGGAGACAAGTGGGATCTCGTAGTTCGATAGGCAGAAAAGTTCGCTCGATCTGTCACATCCCACACTTTATCTACGATCACTGATATATATTTGTGTGTGAATACAATTATTGGATTATATAATATTATTAGAATATTATATATTATTAGAATACCTAGGCTGAATACGAAGCAATACAAGCAGTAGTCGTAATTTAGTAGTGTTGATGAACTGTACATTTAAAGAGCAAACTCACCGCTAAGAAAAATGACAACGGCCTCGTAAAAAAATCAGTTAAAATTAACTTTGACTGAAGACTCTGACATCGTCTGTACCGTGTGCATGCTTATTTATTATATGTAGAGGCATAAAAAATGGAGTTACCTAAAGAACATACACACGTTTCTGAAATCCTGCATCGATGCTCTGTATATTATATCACATTTGCCATAAGCATTGGTTATACTATAATTAGCTACTGTCGTAGTCTTGCAACCATAAATGATATAGATATGGGATGTTCTACAGCCAATCGCAATAATAACAAGAAACAGTAGACCATAAAATCGTCGTAGCTTTTCTCTCATTTCTTGATGTCATCAATGTCGGGTTCAATTAGCAACATTTCGATTTTACTACTCACTCGCAGGCCCAGTCTACTTTTGTTAAAACTACTTTTACAGCGAGTATTGTCATGATTATATTATTTTTATGATTATTAAGTAGGAATATTACTTAACCAGCTTAACTAGCGTGTTGCTTCATTAGAAGCGTTCACATATACCGCCAAAATGTAGCCAATGAAGAAAAGGAACACAGCCTCAACAGAGTAAATTTTGTATGGCGCGGCACTTCTCTTTTTTACTTTGTATCGATCAGAGCAGCCCTCCTATGTAAAAAATACGACAAGAAGAATTCGATGTGCTATATGGGTGCAGAATTCACCCTCGCTCCTAGTACAGCAAATTTTCCGAATTCTGGAGAGACAGAAGAATCAGCCGCTCAATTGTCACAGAATATACGATACATACAGCTTTATAAATAAAATATTGTATTTTCCTCTAGCATTGACGACAAGAGCGACATTTTTGGGATCGCTTTGCCCGCCCAACTCATATGGATATACCGTTATTTTTGTTTACCCTCGCAGCCCTTTTCTCCAAATGCGGGTTGAAATAGGAGTTGCTGCATATATATATATATATATGTGGTACACGTGACTAGCACATAGGCACACGTTGTAATATTGCGAGATATGTGTTGCGTCTTATCTTGGACGATGTTTTTTGCTTTACTATTACGACACGCTATGATTGAGCTATGAAGTCTTCTGGCCTTTTCCTAAATGCAGCGAAACGAGGGAGGGTGTAAATAGTGTTAGAAGTGATGGTAAACGTAAAAACAAAAAAATAACGTTAAAGGCCAAAAATAATGCATATAAACGGTATAAGTCAGATGTAGTTGTAGTTGTAATTACAAGCATAAATAACAACAAACAGAAAAATGACTGATAACAGAAAAATGACTGATTTCTGCAAGTATACGACGTGACTGATTTCTTCGAATACACAATGTAACTTATGATAATGTAATAATGCCCTGCTACACTTGGAAGTGAATTCAATTTATGCAAGCTACATTAAAATAATAAAAGTTAGCGTGGCTGTATTGTCTAAAAAAAACCCTGTCGGTTTATTTTCATTTTTTGACAGAACCGGTGATCAGACCCGCTATTTGAAAAACCACCGGCGTTGTAAACTGAAAGCGCGGTTTGCAAATGGCGACTAAAAGTGGCAATGAGGAATAGCGAATAGTGGCAAAACATATCAGAAAAACAATCAAGTATTTGTAAAACGCCATAATCCAAGATGTTTTAATATTTCCTATGCGTTTTCTGCGATACGCCTTGTAAGAAGTGTGACGTTTATCAGTTGACCATTAAAGCATTTGTAGATATATGACCTCTAGATTAGCGCATCGACTTTTGGAGTTTGTGAACATTAGAATAGTGCCATACGACTCCATATTGTTGAAATCCATATTGCTTTAGTTTAAGCATTGGACACAGCATGCACAGCAGATGATCACCAAGTGCAAAAAATACGATCGTCTTTACATGAGCGTCTGCATGTGTGTAAAACGCTGTTCCTTTGAATGCAAACGCTTCCAATGAACTGGGTATGTGTGACTACTACCAGAGGCCCTAGTTTACCTGTGACCACCAGGAAATCAAATTTTGTGCTCTTTCAAGTAAGAAGCAATTAACGCTAATTTTTTTCGGTGGAAAAACCTACGCCTTTGGTCTGTTTTACTGTGTTATAGGGTAATTTTCTCGCAATTACGTCGGAAGTTCAAAAGGAATGTGTTTAAGCAATATGTACGTAACAAATAGGGATTTCCAAATGATGTATATTCCACTACAGATTACCATGTACCACCGCTTTCTCCGAATGAGGACGTGAATGTGGGGCAGCCGCCCGTTATCGATAGATATTTACCGTATCCATCCATGTTTATTAATATATCAGGTTTAGATCTGGCGTGAAGTTCATTGATTGTAGCAACGCTCTTTCCAGGGCAATATTACTTATTATTAGGACAGTAAGAACAATAGACACGAAAAATTTTGCTTCCCTGTAGGAAAGTTCAAGGAACAAGTAAAGCGCTCGCCTACTGTCACATACGGCTATAATTTAGCTATAGGTATATTCTTTCTATTTCCTTATGACCGTTTATAATACGATTTTTAAAGATTAGGACATTTCGAAAGTACGAGCCGTACTACCAAATTCCGAAGTATATATATCGACACTTGTCTTCTAAACGAACCGCATATATCCTAACCTAGTCGGATTAGAGACTGCAACATTTAAGTCGTATATATTGATTTTTATTTAAAGTACAGGAGCCTTTTACCTTTTGTGTTTTATCATATTCGACTGTTTTCTCCTCTGCAAGTTTGATTTCTCTATAAAAAGATACATGCGTACGGCTTTGGAGTTCATCCCTTATTCTCGAATTTCATCTTCTTAACAACAATCACAAGCCTGAAAATAGACAATTCGAAATGCTTCCTTGTGTTTTCCATTGCCTATTAGAATGTTTTTTTTTTCTGTTTTACTTAGCTATTGATTGACCATAAATTATTTTTCGTGTCTCATCAAAGTAACACCTATGATTAGTAAGCCACGGTGAGCCGAAATGTCCATGCCAAATAGAGGTGAATGTTAGATAGATGCCCCCGGGCGTGGCTCGTGCAAATGGCCGAGCAAGAAATCTAAAGTCTTCACATGACATGTACATCACCGCGAATACACGCCTCAAAGCGCGATAGAGCTGGTAGTCGGACACAAACCTCCCGTTGAGGTTAAGAACTGCGTGCTGGACAAGCACAGATACGAGAACCGCTTCAATTTGAGGTAAACAAACCAGTTAAATTGAATGTAATTTCCGGGTTATAATTGCTCTTCGGTGGACGACTGTTGACAGAAAAAATTATTAAGAACCTTTAAGGAATGGGGCTGAAGATAATGGAGACATCAATTAAAAATAGTACACCGATATGCGAGCCGGAGTCTTCGAGACGTTTGCGGGTCATCCTCACTTCGATCTCTACCTATTATATCAGCCATCCTCTAATCGAGGAGAATTTGTCGAAAAGTGACTTTTCCTCTGGTCCGGCTGTGGTAGGAATGCAGTTCATTCGAGCGAATGAACATAATGTAAAGAACCGCACGAAGAACACAGCAAAACATGACAACAATCTTTTACAACTGCCGTGAAACGTTAAGCACTTTTAGGATGACCAAGGCAGAAGTCTATTCACGTGTATTTTCTTCGGAGGCATTCGCCACAAGGGTCCCAATAGAATCATATGAAAACTACATTGTAAACCGCAATTAGCACTTCTTTGGAAAGAAAAACGCAAGTCCCGTTGACAGCAGAGCCCAAATAACCGTTCGAATTACGATGATGAACGCACAGATTTAGTAAGCTTGTGCGAAGGAAAGCTGTCCGCATCAAGATAATGGCTGTACAGACTGGTGGAGGTCGATCGTTAAAACCTCACTAAAGATGGCTATCACGTGAGCTGGTCTCAAGCAATGGGATCATAACTTGTATTAGCGGTCGACAAATCAATGTAAATGTACATAAGGCTGGCTACGAACAGTAAAGCATTTCGAATCTTAAGAAGACAAAGTGGGAACCATTACCAGTTCGGCTATCAGGACAGACAAATACACACAATCAGCAGTATGCACGTTTTACACCTACCAATAGGAGCAGGTATTAGGTGTTGGTGGACGATATGTAATATTTTGAACGTAGCTCACTTCATAAATGGGAATATTGTGTACGCTCTATTGAAATCCACCTTAAGTTTATTTCGAACTTCTCAAACATGGTGTGTTATTCGAAACTTCATCAATGTGAGGTCGGCAAAAAGCTCACGAGAAGAAAGGCAGAAAGTTGTGGTCAGCCTTACAATTAATCAATGGTCTATTTTTTTAGAGTTTCTGATTACTTGGCCCACACTTCGATCGTGTTTATCGAGAATTATAATTTCGTGTTTGGCTATGTGCTTGCCAAAATACCTTAGACGTTGAAACTTACACCTCACCTGAGATAAATTTAATATTTTAAATCCCATGGTTCGTACGGTTACTGCAGTAACACGAGAAAAATACAATAAAATTTACAAGGGAAATAAATCGCCCTCTCTTCGGTCCGATTCAAAAAATAACGTTTTGCGTGACACTGGCTGTTGAGAGCCTTCATATTTTCTGGTTATTAATACCTTTGTAGGGGCTATTGATAATACGATCGCGAAGCTTCCTTTTATTTGCAAGCTACTTAGTATGATAATTTAATTGAAGGTGTTTTTGAAAAAGACATTGAAAATCTTCTATTTCTTTCCAATTAAGTATGACCATGGGATGTTGCAATTTGTTTATATATTGACTATATATATATTGACTAGGTTACTACAAAATAAAGTAGAAAGGACCTGGATAAAAAGCTGAATTCAAGGTTTCCAAAATGTTTTGTGGCAGGGCGTAACTAGTGGTTGCTGATCGTCAATGCGCTAGAATATTAAATTCACATCCGACTCCTATTATAATAAAATGTAATTAATCAGGACAACTGATGTCTTAAAATGTCGTGAAACTTTGCCATGTTCATCGTATGTACAATATTTAAAAAAGAAGGTTACCAATATTATAAAACTGGAGTTTTTTTTGAGAGTTGCACTTCATACGTAATTTTTGCAAACAGACAGGCTATACTTGTAATCGTTCCATGCTATTACTTTTTTTATGCAAACGAGTTTTACGTGTCCAACTTAATTTATAAAAAAATAGATAGACCGCTCGAAAGTGGCACTAAAACGACGGGGGCCCATAAGGAGAAACACTGAAAATAGACCGCCCATCCGTTGTACTTAGGTCTTACATGTGTGTACTCTCTTTCAGGCTGACATACAAAAAATGCTCCAGTTATTTGACGGTAATATGCCTTCGTAAAAGGAAACTTTTAAAATAATTCCCCTTAGAGATATCGAGAGGATGCAAGGCCATTCGGTCTAACAATTTTAATAATAAACAAATACACTCGCGTGTATTTATTTCTGCGGCGCACTTGTCACATGTATTTACTGATTCAGCAAAAAAATTTCACAGTTCAGATCATAATGTAGACTTTCGAACGGTGCCTTGCAAGTGACTGTTGGAAACCTTTTGAATGGGAATACCTAGAACACATTGATGTTAATATTTTTCTGCTTCAAACCAGTGCTTCTTCATAGTCTTTTAGCCCACCAGCATAATGATGTTCTTCAAAGGAGAAATAAGAACCGTTTTCTGACAAAGCTCGTGCTTGATTAAATGTAGTACTGGCTAATTTTTTTAATTTTGTCCAGTTTTGCGTTAGTCTTGTGCCTCCACTCTGGGAAAATCCAGATTAGCTATGGTTCGACCATAGGCCTCGTTATCAATAGTTCTGTAGCTCTCCGTAGAGTTTACCTAAATGGCTGAAATAGTGTTCATAAATAGTGGAATGCAAGTGTTGTGTAGACTGAGGGAGATTCGGATTAATGCCCATGATATTTTAAATATATAGACTGACTGGTATAGACCGGGCGACGCTGCACTTGGGAAGCTTGAATTTAATAGTAGTAGAAATAAGCGGACCTCGGTGATTGCGTAGAACACTTGCAACTTTAGCACTCTTTAAAGCTAGTTAGGAGGACTGCAATGTTGTATTTTTATTACGCGTTCGTCGAGGAGTTGTTTATTTGGGCCAATGCAATGTTCAATACTTTAATGTGAGAATTTAATAAGCGCCTCGTAACAAAATGATATCTTTTTTTTGTCCAAATTTCAACATTAGAAGGCAATTGGCTTTCGATTCTGCGGGTGACGCAAGTAATAATATTAATTCATTGCGAGTGGATCGCATTTGCTTCCAGGAATTGTACAGTTCATCATCAGCGGTAATAACAACGACGTAAAATAGAAAAATGAGAATGTTCGACATGTTCTTTTATGCTATGCTTTGGGCATTGCTCCACTATGGAACGGAAATATTGTGTGTGGATGTTCGAGCTAAATTGGATTTCCGCGAGGAAAGTCAGTTGTTTGCAGAGATGAAGTCGGAATTTGCCGTCCAAGGTCCCTGCTGGGTCTATGCTGTCGAGCGTTTCGAGGAAAAGCGGTATGATTTCGTTTTGAAATTGAATATTAAACAATAACTACTCGGTACTGTTTGGGCGTTTAGTATTAATAAAGGGTTAGCGGTTTTTTTCCATTTTTTAATGTGACACTAATGGAATCAATCCTAATCATTAAAAAAGGCAAGCACTTTGGGTATAATTGAATACTACGTATTTTGAACAAATATAGGCTCAAAAGAGTAAAGCACAAGTCAAATTTTTACGTACCTGATCTTATGTACGAAACCCCATTTTTCCATAAATCTAAATATTGATTCACTCTGATGATAACAGAATGGACAATAGTCTTCAAAGCTTTTTTGTGAGTAACTCTGTTATAACGCGTTCCGCTATAATGAGCTCATCCACTTCGTTGTTCAACATATAACGTAAAACTTGTAGGAAGGAACCGGAAAGTCAGGAACGACTTGCCTTCGACTTCACTAACTGTTTCATTGAGGGCGCCGGTGTGGAGGGTTACTTCTGTAAGGAGTCGCAAGAATTAATTACCTGCGAGGATTTCGTTCGAATGCAGGCCGGTCCACATAGACACGTATATTCTGTGCACTTTCTCCAAAGCCAACTGTTGTTGGCTTATCTTAAAGAACTTGCCCATCAGCGTCAAACATCCCGACAACTTGAAAGTAGCTCGAAGAACACTCGTTTATTATCTAGCAAGCTAGCGACCACGTCCGACCTTCTACTCGACAGCCTTAAGACAGAAGGTTTGTTATAATTTTTAGCTCGTTTCACTGTATTTTAACTGAAAAGCTGTACCATACACTTCTTGAACAGCTTGGAACTAGACAATTTCAAGTATTACTAACATATAAAGTAATGACTTTAGACTGACTTACCTCATATTGTTAGCTTTAGTATTCTACACGGTTTACGCTGTAGCAACAGATCATTATGTTGTCTGATATAAATAATAAACCGTGTAGTCTAACATTACAATTAATCATATTTTCTGAATCGACATCTTTGTAGGTGAGATAGCAGAACTAAAACGCCTGGCAGTGAAGAGTCATGCTGAACTACGCGAAAACCTCCAAGGGGCAGAAAGAGTGTTTGCCGATTTAGTTGACCTAGTCACGCAATACAAAATTATAGGGGTCACTACTGTAGGAATGATGCTTTACGTGGCGAACTTCGTTATTGGTCGCGTTTTTTGATATACATCTGTGTGGCAGTCTATCAGCCCGATATCTGGTTTCTCTGTAACAGAAGGCTACAGGTAACAGGGTTAGAGAGGAAGCAAGCTTATACAGTAGTTGGTGAGGTTTCAGTAAGATTTCAAGTAAAATGCAATTAAAAAGTCACTGTAGTGGTTAGGAAAAAGATTCGAGTTATAACCTTGCAGCCAGGGAAGGGATAACAGCAGGGCTGCAAAGGTGAACGGTTATATAATTTATGAACAAAATCACAAAATACTGCACTAAAAAAACACGAAAAAAACACATGTGGATAAAAACTCAGGGAAAGGGAAGCTTCGTCGATTAAGGACATAAACTTTTTACAGGCTTTGTAAAACCGGCATTATATTATGGCACAGGGCCATCAAAAAGTCAGACCCGCTGTAAAAAATCTGCAACTGCATAAAGTTAGCTTGGTACTTCAGTCAGCAACCTCTAGTCAGAACAAATGTGTTACGTCGACCAGATGACCCTTAACGACTGCGTGAAAATCTTCAAGTAAATTTGTTCTGGCTTAAAGGTCGCATATACGTTATTGTGTCCACGTCATTTACTTTAGTGCAAACGGCAAAATAACTATCTTCACCCACACTTGCTGATAACTGTGGTAGATCCCAGCTAACTTAAAAATGCCACGCCTAACATAACCACTTAAGTATTATCTTCATACGAATAACTGCTCTTAAACGGAATTCAAGACATTTTAACTTTCTGCTGTAAAATCAATTGAAATACATCGTATCTAAAGCATGTCAGGACATCATCTCTAACATGGTTTATGAGTAAAAATAAGTAAAAGGAGGAATCGGTAAACACCTTACACTAGGCATTAACAATGAGGGCCAGAGAGAGTCTTTAACATGACTAAAATTCTAGCTTCAACATATTCAAAGAAAATTCTAAACAGTAAAAACTAATACATTAGAAACTTTTCTTTGTAAAACTAATACATTAGAAACTTTTCTTTGTTAATCATCGATGTCGATACGGTCAAAAAGTTTAGATAAATAGGTTCCGATGCAAAAGTAGATCTTCTTTCCTAACCGTGCGATGTCGATACGGTCAAACCGTGCGATGTCGATACGGTCAAAAAGTTTACATAAGTAGGTTCCGGACAAAACCTACATGGGTAAAGCTTTTGGTCATTTATTTTTTCGACTGTTATTTAGCCTTTCACTACCTTTAAAGATGTGTGTAATTTGGTTTTGAGAAACACGGCAATCCCACGTCTATCACGCTCTCTAGGTGAACTTATATTCGAAGTAAATTTCCGTGCAAATTCCGAGTCAAACTGCCGGCTTGTAAAAAGCGCGCATCGTATTATGAATATGCTATCTCGTTTATTCATTGATTAATTCACACAAAGCCAGTCTTTTTTCTTTTCATTAAAGTCGGGCTCTCAAACACAATACAAATATGTGCGCCCTTTTAATTAATATATTTACATATCTGTTCAGCCAATGTATCCGTGTCTTTAAGTACTTTTTTCAGTAGCTATTATGATTGATTTAGCCCAAACAAGCGCGGTAATTTACATTACTTCTTCTAATGTACAATTCGCATTATAATTTACTAACATCAGTTATTTCAGTTATTATGTTAAATGTACATAGACTTACTTTCCATACGTGTACTTATTTTGAGGGGTATGAACATGACAGCTGAACAGCTCACAATGAATTATGCAAATACGCTTCTACATTCTATACAATATTTACAATAGAACTATTCTCAAGCAAAAATGGAACAGTAACAGAAAATTTCAAACATGCTACGCATCGCGCAGGTTTTGAGAACTCTATACCATATTTGCCCTTTTATTCATATACACGTCACAGTTTAGCTGCTATGGCATATTGATTTTTTATTTTATGGAAATAACTGTTTCCGTTTGTTAGCTATACAGGAGTTCCTTACAACGTCTACAGGCTCGTTTCATTAAAAATATCGCCTGCGGTAGCTTATTTGGGTTTACACAAGTAAGGCATTACGTAGTCCTAAGGAAAAATTTTTGCATATCCATCTTATCGCGCGAGTTACATTAACTAACTGCTTTTACATTTACAATGTGCAAAAATTAAGTGGCCGTAACAAGTCACCGAATAAGCATCGCGACAATACCATTGAGACAATGACCATATGAATTTGAAATAGTCGGCCTAGTTTCGTATTCTTTCTTCATTTCGATTCTTCTCTAACTTACTACTATTGCTCCTTTTTCCGATTTCAAATTTTCGCGCCATTCCCTGTTGGTTGGTGTATGTGTGTCTCGATATAACTAAGAGTTTCGTTTTGCTTCTATCTAGCACCAGCGTTACAATGTAATTTTTGCTACATTGCTAAACTTTGCTCGTTCTAATTATACAGTTTGCCACTGGCAACGGCAAAAATTATTTTCTCTCGACAGGAAAGGAAAGTGGTGACCACATGGTTGACTAACTACTTATTAAGATTGTGACAACTGTTGCTGTTGCTGCCGCGACTGTGTGAGATAGCTCGAATAGACGTTCATAAGAAAAGCTAGTCGTTTTTGTGCCTCGTCCTTAGATATTCCCAACTTAGAAGCTACGTCTGTGCAGCACGTGTCCATATCACCTCCAGCCGATTGCCACGTCGACAGAAGAACTCCATCTCGTTCCCTGGGCAATAAAAGAACTAAGTCACCATGAATTATTTCCTATCTAATTGTATATTTTTTGATGACTAAGTAAAAGCACCTCACAGTTCAGTGTAATATATGTAAAATATGCGTCTTACACACCCGCCTTTTTCACATATGTATTTTTCACGCACTCGTAGTGCAAGCACTTGTTTGCGAATAAAATGGGCCGGTTGCAGCTGGAATACTTCGTGAGACTCAGGAAATTCCTCTCGTTACGTGTCACATGTCCTCATTTCTCACCTACCTGGTCCAAAACTTCTTTTCAGTTATAGCAGCTTTTATGGCTCCTGCCGTAGTAATGAATTCATGACTTTCTTTACTACTAAATTGTTTTTCAACGGCTTCTTCTTCCAAAGATGCTGAAGTATCCGCAAAACGATTTTCAGAGTTTTCATCCGCTCCTTTCTCTTTTTCATCTGTCGAATCTCCTAGAGGTGGTTCCTCCTCTTCGGGGGCTTCTTCGACGAACCTGACTGCAGCAGGCTTCATTGTCTTGCCCGTTTGGAGAAAAACCTTACCATCAACAAACTGGAATGCAGTATTAAACGTCAGATAAAAAAAAATGCTCTATCTTTTTATATCAAAACGATCCCCGTTGCACTCTAAACTATCTAACAAACTAACTTGAAGAACAGATCTTTTTTCGATCTTCGAAGATCAGAGGAATTTATTGGTTCATACGTGTCCGCATAAATTTGTCGCAGGAACGCATAGGCAGACCTAAGGATCCAAATCGATGAGCTTTAGAACGGCGAAATTAGTAACACCGGACGGGTCAATTGAATTATTTTGGTACAGATTGGTAAACCTAAACAAATAGTATAACAACGTTTCTAACTGCCGAAAATAGCGTTGATTGTACTCGTTTTTCGCAAAAGACTTACCCTAATAGCACATTCGACACAGTGACGATCACGATTGGCGAGTTTGTGATGTTCTTCTGTAGGCCCTTTCTGAGATGCACCTCCCAAAGGTATGGCGGTGTTTGCACCGAAATGGTATATAGTTGAACCAGAAGAATTGAATCCCGAATGCTGGTTATAGTGCTGATTCACGCTTGAATTTGAAATAGTGTTTGTCTGGTGGCATTTGCAGGGACACCTGCGACCACCAACAGGTTCAGGCGAAGGAGGTAGACGGACCACTTCGACAATATCTTCGTCTGCGTCTGAAGGACCTTCGCCCTGTGAATTAGGAGCCGCTCGTCCTGATAGAACCGGCGGCGGATCCTCGCCAAGCAAAATGACTTCATCGAAGTCCGTCATGCGACTGAAAAATTAAGCAGGCAGCCTTACTCCAAAGGTATTTCTTCTATTATGTAATCAGCTCTATTAGTATCTATTATTCAACATGGAATATCCAGAATTTTTTTTGAGAACGACGGAGGTTTGTGACGAACAAATATATATACAGGTCTTAAAGGGCTATATTTATGTAGATATATAGGCAAAATAGATAGCCGCAGATTTAACATTAAAACCCAAAAACCCAGCTTTTTACTCAAATTCTATTAACAACTTAACGTATTATGTGTTCGCCGCTATTCCCCACTACTTTCTTTCAAATGTCAACAATTTTTTAGCCAGGATTTTTCAGTTCTACTATTGAAGAACCCGTCCAGCCGGTATATTCTTTAATGCGCGATCGCTAATTTTGTTTTCCAGTGATCGGAAATGACAGTCCGTCGGAGCAAGGTTTGGAGAACCAAGTGGATGCGAAAAACGTCCTACTCAAGCTCTTGCAGGGGGATTTTTACAATTTATATCATGAGGAGCTTGGCGTGTCGTGGCTAAAATAACTTAGTTGTCTCTAACAAGTCTTTTTTTGGATGGCCTCGTTCAGCTGGACTACATACAAGCTCTCGCTAAGGGTCGTGTTCTTTTCAAACATGGCGCAATGTATAAAGCTTTCCCAGTTCCATCGAACGTATATCATCGTTTTCTTCGGATAGAGATCGGAATTAATTCTAGGCTTGGGCGTATCTCTAAGTACTTGCTATACTTTTCTCTGCTTTATACCAACGAGGAGAAAGTATTCTCGATTGCCGCTGACAGATATTTATAGAAAACTGCTATCGTGGTCGCCTGTGGCTCGGTGTTCGGCGAAATATTGACAGACAATGTGGAGCCATGTTTCTTTAAAATCCTTATATACATAGTTAAGATTATATACCTAAGGTTCCTGTCAACAGTCCTATGATTGCAGTTCATTTTTTCACCCAAATCACCCTCTTTCTGGAAAAGTGCCTGTAATTGATCATCACTGACTTCAGATTGTCGTCCAGGGCGGGGTGCATCTTGGTGCTCCAAAATACCATTCTTGAGCTTGCCAAACCAGTTTAGAGCTATTCTCCTAGTAACCATCTCGCTGCACGGCACTAAATGTCTCGTGCTGATTCCGCAGTTATCCGACCTCAGTAAAAGGCGAAATAAAGTAGGTATTAAGAGTCCACTTTTTTCATCTAGAACCTCTTAAACTCGACATGAAGTTTTATTCACTGCTAATTAATATTACAATGAACTCACGAAGGAGAAAATACTTTTACACTATATATATATAAAATCAAAGAAATAGGAGCAGCAAAGACAAACAAAAAGTATTTGTATTTCAACCCAATATTCAAGTAGAATGTTAATTAAAACGTGCTGTTCTACTAATGATACATAGATAGTAGATGATTTATGTGAGTAAAGCAAACTAAAGGTATGCCCTTCAGCTCTGTTGCGTATCCTTACGATCTATCCATGTTATTTTAATTACGATACCTTTATTGATACTACCACTAGTTGTAAGACACGTATCATTTTTATTATGATGTCCTTACCTTGCCTCAACGCGCTGATTCGGAAAGAGTGCTAAGAACTCCTCCATCAGATGTGGTTGACCCCGCAATAGGGGAGTGACCGCAGCGACCACTTGTGACGCCAAATGCTCGTCTTCATTTTCCATTTCAGAGATTGGTCCCGTAGCCCCAGGCGACGAGCTGGCAGTTGAGGACGAAATGCCAGTGACGCTTGAGAAAACTCCACCACCGCCGCCGGCCATAAGTACCCCACCGACAGTGTTGCATGTTTGGCCGGATAAAATACTTCCAATACTACTAGATGCAGAAGGATTAGTACTAGCGTTTGAACTTTTGACACAGTTTTTAAGGGCCTTTAGTAGCCTATGAGCAAGAGCAGGCGATCCGGAGTGAATTTCCGTTTTACGAAGGAAAAGGCGCATTTTTGCTAGCGCCAGATGCTGCTGAAATCGACCGGCCAGGAATGCCTGCTCGGCGTCCAGAAATAAAACTAGGTCCTCCACAAGCGCAGGACATGATGATAGGGTGTCATCTAACTTTACAAAAAGCTGTAATCAAAAGAACAACGGAAAAACGAAAACGTTAAAGTATACATTTAAGTGACGAAACATTTCATATTAATAATTCCTTGCTCTATCATTCCTTTGAAAAACAAAATGAGTCACCATAATAGTGATGAGCAACCTAATCTGAATGTCTTTCACGACCATTCATTAATATGTTAGTAACTCCCTCCATAATCAGCGATTAAGACAGACCTGTTTTTTATTTTTTGATGCACATTTTAATCTCCAGAACTTTTAACTATACTCTCGTTTTGTCACCTATACAAATAAATTCGAATAACTAAGCTGACAGATACACGATATTAGGATCGTGTGTAAACTTTGAATGATAATGAATTAACGTGAAGCGTGTTGCACCATATTTAACCTGTTTTTTTATCCACTGTATAGACGATTTTCCCATAACTCCCAGGCCATTTTACTAGGCTACATTTAGATAGTTTCGCTAATTCTGCCGAAATGTCGTGTTTTTAAAGCTGACATTTGTAATGTCGTTCAGATATGTAGCAGCACTCAGCCGATTTCACATACGAAAGATTTGTGCAGAGCACACCCACAATTTGACCGAACTGGGTAACATAACCACTCAAGACAACATCGCAAAAATTAATAACTTGAATTACTTCTTTTAGAACCAGCAGTCTACTAATCCTTGAAAACGGCACTGAATTTCTTTTGCATCACCTTCTGCATGGGACGACTCGCACATAATAATACTAAGCTATTACATGCGAGTTTGGTGGATTCCAAAAAGGAATCACTTTAGTGCTATCTGGGCTGGAATGATGATCTTTTAATATGTGCTAGGAGTGTTCTTTTTTATTTTTTATATTATTAGTTTTATAGCAGTTTTTAGACCTACCATTTGCGTTCCCATATATGATTTCTCTATCTGTGGCTTTTCGGGGTAAATCGAAAATGACATATGTTCGTTCATTAGAACAAGAAAACCCCGTAAACACATAGACTTGGATCGGAAGAATAAGTGGGTGAAGCCAACGTTAATTATCTATTTACCTAATCCATCAAATAAGCACACTACACCCTTGGTGTGCATTGCAAGTACTACCATCACCTTACGCCCGGACCTACTCGACGTTACCGCCAATCTCAGATTTCCTTCCATGGCGACACCATACTCTTGTCTGCTTCCTCTCAGGCTGGTGATTGAATCACGCCTCCTCTTATTACTAACCTCTTTTACGTTGTCCTTGTATTTTTTAAGAACAGAGACCATCTCAAGCACTTTGTCGTGATCAAGGAACTTTTTTGCTTTGGCAACATAGTTCAGTATGAATTGATTTTCCCTCTCATCGTCTTCTATTAACTGCTGCGTATCGAGTAGTGGCAAAGTCGCCTCCAAATCCTTCTCAAAAAAAAGAATAACAATTAGTTACACTAAGCGTAGCTGCACATCGTTAGGTCTCAATAAGCGATTATATCGGGTATATGTTATAAATACATATCGTATATTGCAGGCACCGAAAAAAATGTAAACGGTGGGTGGACAGAGCTAATTCCCCATACGAACCAAGTGTCCGGTAGACCCTGGTTTGCATGAGGCATATCCTTCGTTGCCCCTTGTTGAAATTCGGAAAACATGGGGTGTTTATGAAGAGCGAATTTTTTATTCATATCTGTGAAGCTTTGGTTTAATGCGGTCGTGGTTGGACGCACCTTGATAAGTTGACGATGTTTTCGAGGACACTTCACCGTATTACGAGAGATTTTTGACGATGCAGCCATAAGCGCATCCAGTTGTTCCTGAATACTGTCTGCTTCTGTTTCAGGATCTGGCTCAGCTTCCCCCGTATCTGCTGCTGCTACAGCATTTTCGCGTCCACTATCGTCTTCAACGCCCTCTAATGAATGATCCTTCTCCTTGGCAATGATTTTGCTGTTGGAGTCCTCATATTTAGAGCAATTATTCCGGCCACCTGTCGCATTCTCGTCGTCAGGACTCGGCTCGATATCGACGCTACCAGATATTAAAGCGGCCGAGAGAGTGTTGTTCTGTGAACAGCTTTGAGGAGGCGTCTCGGGTACACTGTGTGCAAAAGAGGCGCTTCCATTAGTCTGTGTTAATACACTGGAGTCTTTTTCTGAATCATTACTAGTTGTACTCCCAGAACTGCCTGCACACTGTTGTTGCTCCATTGTTGTCGAAGTAGGACTCTGGAAAATACAATGAACACACAGATACATGGATATAACAAACCTTTAATACAGATCCGATTTGTGCTACTATTTTCCATTGTGAGAAACGTTACTCCAGTAAAATGTCTTGCTTTATTTTACCCTGGAGCTCGAATCAATACGCGAACGGCTTCAGTTATCGGTTTCCTCTAGATAGGGACTGGATAAATTCAGCAATTTGTTACAGTTTACCTCGGACACGATTGCCATCGTAAATCTTTCAAAGCCACGGTCTGCTGTTGATAACTGTGCAGTACTTTTCTACAATTCCAAAATTTTCTACGGTTAAAGTTGCGGGTTAGTGGTATGGAAGTATCAAAAAATTGAAGATTGCTTTGTCTCTAGATACTGCACGGAACCGGCTAATCGAGATCACGGCATGGAGTAAATTATCGTGTACCAAGCACAAAGCATAGATACACCTGAATAAGACGGCTTAGCCATTTATTCGATACGGTCGCATATTGTATATCGTAGTAAATCGTATTACATTCAGCTAAACGTTTTAGCACCTTGATTAAACAGACCTAAGTGTTTAGCTTACCCCTGATACAATAAGACTATTTTCCCGGCTTGAGGTATATTTCTTAAGCCTTCATGTTATATCTTTTCGACTATTTGTAATTCATCAAAAATCATTCAAAATTTACCTGAGGAACTTCTGACCCACCCCCTGGACTTGTAGCATTACTGTTTGGCATTGGTTGGTCATGTTCAGGGGGACCCTCGGGAGCAAAAGTATTTGTTGTTGATATCACCTAAAATAAAAGATCAGTTACAGGTGTTTGCTCTAAATCACTATGGGAAGGATAATCTCATCCGCTCATCACACAGCACAGTATTGTTTCTTTAGGAAGATGTCAGCTGGAGACGACACTCTAAATCTTCAATTACTTATTTTGTATGCGCGTCTTATAATTAGGTTAGTTCCCATCGTCTATTTCATGTAATGGAACAAATGGAGATATATTATGCTCAAATTAGGTATCTTAAACTGGGAGGTTCTCTAAGTTTGATGACTTGAAACAGATTTGTTTCTAAATACCAAACAACTACAAAGAAAGTCCAACCTGGTTTTTATTATGTTATTCACACCACTTGAGTACGAGCATACCTGTTCTGGCATATCTCTTTCCCGTTCCATCTGACGGAGAAGAGCTTCTTTGCGTGACTTGGACAGTGGTGTCGAGCTTAATGCAGGCTGGAAATGAATAGAAAAGTAATCACACATTATAATCAGACATTATAGCTATTATCTTGATTAGCAGCATTACGTAACAATTCCCCCATTAACTCAGAAAGCTATGTAGTCTCTGTACGTGGATTATGCGATAAATTTGTATATATTATTGTAGATAAATTTGTATAGATCTATTGTAATTTTGGTTGACAAAGCTCAGACTTGCGTGCATTTACTTGTTAGCGATTTACCATCAATATCTGAGATAGGACAACAGAAACGAAACGATGACTATAACGAGCTACAAATATTTATTATCAATCCTAAGCACCGTTAAAAAAAAGTCATTTAAGACACCGCACTAAGTGTAGCACGGTGGCCATATTCTTTAAATGAACTTCGAATTTTGTGTTTAGAGTTCGCACCTGATATGCAACAAGCGACCATTTTTAGAAAAATTTACAAACGCAACTAGATTGCAGAAAATTAAGGAACGACAAAGTAAACCTGTGGAATTTTAACGATAAAGATGTTAATCACAGAATTTTTAGTTCCCTCGGATATTCGTTGTTATAATTCATTGTGTTTTATAGTCTAGAGAAGCGCTGCTAAGGACAACATCGCTCTTTGATTTGAAATATACGTACGTAACATTGATTTTTCGTACCTACTATTCCAAAAGCCCACGAGACAGCTTTTGCACTGCTATAACAAGTGATTTTCGTAAGGCTAATTTCGACCGCATAACATGACTTGAAGTCTATAGGGGTTTACTTAATATAGAGTTTGGCAACTATAGTGGACGTCTGTGCATTATGATATACATAGCGTGTATCGTTCCAGCTACCAAATCAATTGTGCAGCATGTTCTTAAGTGCTGCTCTAAGTCCGTCCTAGGGTAAACGAAATGAAAAAAAAGTTAAATCTCAAGCAGCTTCTATGGAGTTGCTGTTGCTATTGCTACTGTGGCTGCTAAATTTGTTAATCTTGTAGGTCGCTTCATAGATTTTTTTAGTGAACAGACCATCAAGCAATCTGTAGGACATAGAATAGGTCGTCATAGGGCATCGGTTGCGTCACTTATGAAATATATACTAACCTTATTGACGCCACTGTTAACTGAAATGACGTTCGGTTTCGGCAGTAATTTGTATTTCTTCAAAATTGGATTCACAGCAGATGTGGATGGTTGTTGTTTCACAGGCGATGGAGCCGAATTCGCATTAAGGCTTGGTGAAGATTTCGTAGGGGAAGTTAATTTTGATGGTGCCAAAGAGACCGGCGGATGACTGCGACGAAGCTGATCGACCGCCACCTTTAATACGCGGACACGCACATTTAAACACGACTGTCGTTGTTAAAATTAATCTAGACGGGTTTTCTTTCGCCTTTCATAGCAAATTACTACACTGACTTCATAGTTTGAGGCACCACGTTGCAAGATCAAAAAACTTTAGATAGGTATACTACGTGTCTAAGGATTTGGCATGATTAATTATGTAAACTTTTCTTTAACCAAGTTCAACTTTATTGACTAATATCCTCAGCAATAGGCTCCCGAATTGTCTTGCCGGCTTTTGAACTTAAACAAATAACAAAGATGAAAAGTGCAGTTTCTGGTAATTTTTACTTAACATATCCGTCTTCGGAGTCCAAATTTAAATTGAGATTCTTTAATCCGCACAGAACGATGACAAAAATCAGTGTAAGGAGATGTGTGTTAGATCAGCATTAATTACTTGACAATCAGTAAACGCAAGCTCAGGGGGGAACAAGAAAGCATCAAATTTGTAAAGAGCACTGCCAGGTTTACAGCAGCTACCTTACACTTGCAAAAAATACTCCGACCCATCGTTTACTAAACGAGTGTGATTCTATCCAATTTACGTTTCTTCTGACAGAATCACCTTAGTTCTAACTCCGTGATTTATACCTCTTTTATTTCCTCTATGAACAGTCTGCTGAGTTACTAGGTTTAGACTCAAACTACACAACTGCTAATGATTGTGATTACTCTACGGGGACCTAAAGGCAATAGAGGGTTAATAACTCGCAGCAAATGCATGTCCTTCCTTCGCACCATTATAAAGACAATCCTTATGACTAAGGTGTGCAGCACAAACGATGCTTATCGCTTCCATAAACGAGTTGAGTAAACAACATATTATCAGAGTAATAAGCTAACTTTACCTACCACCTATAAAATGTGAAAGAAAATAGTTTTACGTAGACCATTATAAACTTGCATTCATATATGTATCGTGTACGCGTACGGTAATTACATAAGACATTTAATTGGTTACGCTAACGCTCACTGCCTCATTTGGCAGATACAGTATTCAATAAGAGCTAACATGCTCTACAAGATGTTCGATACTAGGAACTTGTGTCGAATGTATTGCTTTTCATGTTTTTGACCGTCAATTCCAGCTGTGGCTGAGGTTCATTATAAATGCCCGTCATCAATTGCCCTCAAGATATACGACAGATGAAAAGCACAGATGGTTCTTTACACATGATCGTTTTGTTGTCTACGATCGTAAACAGTAAGCTCGCCTGGTGTGAGCACCTTGGCGTTAAAAACTCCGGCTCCTCTCTAAGCGTCTACTAAAACTTAGAGCGTTGGAATCGATGTATGAGCACAATATTATGCAAAATAGATCTGCAGGTCCATATACGTACTCTATAAAAAGATATCAAAACAAAACTGTCTTTATTTAGCACGCATTATTATTCAATTAGCAGTTTATTCGTTACGAGGACATCAATGGTAAAATATTATTATTATGCTATCACTTATTCACACAGTAGTCTAATCAGTGACTATGTTTGCTCGTCTCAAGTTAGTTCATGTAGCAGGTATACACCATTAGGTCAGAGAAACTGTTCTTCAATGGCTGTTTTACCGATTGAGTTGTAAAATGTTTTAAAGTTAGAAATCCTAGTACCCTTAGTGGCAGCGACTGAAATGTTCTGCGCAATATATATAATGCAATTCGTTTACAATTGGCTGGCTCTCAGAAAATTCGCCTAGTTTTTTCAGTTTCCTATTTTGTTGATGATACAAAAACTTAACACGCTTAGTGACTCTCTGAACTAGTGTATATTATACACCTACATACAGGTATTAAGCGGTAATACAATCAAGAGGTAATACCCTGGTTTTAAAGGGCACACAAAACAGTTTGGATGGACCGTCTGTCATCAATATTAATGACCAGAACATAATTTAGTACGTCGAATGGGAGACCACACACTGGAACGGCTAACTATTAATCATTAACCCTGCTGTGAGCAAGGATGAAATCTAGGTTTAACTTAGTTTCTTCTCTTGTACACAACTGTAAAGCCTTTTGCTGCGAAGTAGACAGCGTCCATTATAAAAAAAACCTTGATATGAAAGCCTACAGCCAACTTTATGCGTTCCAGATATGGCGCGAAAATGCATTTGTTTTGCACTGAGAGCGAAGCTGAAAGTGATGAGATGCGTTATAGGTTAGCCTAAGATGAAATTCATGCGTAATTTTAAAAAAAGGATCAAGAAGTGTGTGCCGCCTCTTAACAGCAATTATGGAGTGAGTTTGTTGTCCAGCGTCTTTCACAATTTGCAAAAAGATTAGTGCATCACTTAACGTGGATGAGGTATGCGATATCGAGCCAAACGACCTGTATTAATGTATAACCGAGGATGGAGTCATACACTTTATCGTCACGTGCTCCGTTCTACCTCTTTGAGCGATTACGGGTGCATAATCGTCAATTTTTAAACCCAACTTAAAAAAATACAATAGATAAGGCCTAGTTAAGGTGTACTATATTAGAAGCACAGGTTTTCATTTAATCTTAAATCATCAACCAAATTTCAAATCGCACAAGCATCGCCTTCTAAAATCTGATACAGTGAAAATGGTAGTGTTGTAACTACCCCATTAATTTTTCCCGCAGCAAATAAATTGGCAAAAATCTTTTTAAATAATTCACACATGGATTCTCAGGCCTCAAAACCTGCTGAAGCTAGTATACAAGATACACATTCTTGTTATTGTATTGTATGGCAATATGGTGTGTCGATTATAGTTGTGCAGTTGATCAATTTCTATACAACAATGTCCTCAGGACAATATCCAGAATGCATCTATTTTCATCAGGTTTTTTATTTTGGAGAGATATAACCTCTTGACTTCTAGATATTTTCCAGCTAATTTAGCAAAGTGATATCGGCACTATCTACATCTAGTTTTTTAACCTACGGAATTTTCCCTTGGATTACCCATAACAATTTTCTGAAATGACTGTGTCCATCCATCTGGCTACCAAAACCAATAAGCACGGCAACACTGACTACTAGCTCGCTATTCCGTATAAATCAATGCCTACTGATTACAAAAAAAACTTTGTTTCGAAAGCGGCAATCGTATTTGACAAATTACCTCATGGAATGAACTCCACCCTCATAAATGCTTCTATCTATGCACGATTTACATCCTAGTTTACCTATTTTTTGTAACTAACATTTCTTACTGTACCGTCATCAGACTTTCATGATGTGTCAGAGCAGTTATTACATTTATGTTAGTATAGATCTGGTAGTTTTACCTGCTCAAAGAAGTTTCACACCCGATAGTGGTTTAGCTGAGTCTTGCTTCAGTGGATTAGCTTCTAGCACGGAATTATTTGTATTACAAGAATTATGTGTTATTAGATGTTATTGCATTAACAATGAATAAGCGTGTCTAACTAGACTCTACTGGACCGAACACTTCATCCATGATAAAGAGATTTGAGTTAGGTGTAAATTGAACATGACTGATAATGGGTTTCTCACTGCCGGTCGGAGCCCAGCAATGCCAAGACAATTCGGTATAGATAATAATTAGCATGATTGTAGCCATAGCACCCTGTTGCTGAACTGTAGTCTAAAACATTTTGTGTCTGCTACATAGATTCGGCACCAAGTTATGGTAGCGACAGCCTGTTCTATGTACATTTGTCATACTTACATATCTCTTTGTATTGCATAAATACGCTGAAGTACGTAGCACACATTAGGAATAATATTAATCATTGCAGGCTGATTTATCTTAGCCAGTAACACAAAACTGTTCAAACAGGTATTTATATGGGTAAAATCTGTGAAACCCTGATATTGCTGCACTGTATTAGGATTTTCAACAACGACTTGCTTTTTACTGTTATTACTGGCAGCCGCTTAACTTGATGTATCACAAATTGTTACAGGTCTTCAATGGTCCAGTGAGAGCTAATAACGTGTCTATCCTAGAATCCTCGGACGTACAGAAGAAAAGCAAGTTCGAAGTCGAGAGTAGACAAGACTTATCTTTGTGCTGGGGGCAAACAGTCTGAAGCAGTTCTTAATGGCAATACTTAACATAAGGGTCAAAATATTTACTTAATCTCTAAAGCTGAACACACTGAGAGTCAGCGGTTTAGTCGGAAAACATCACGTGTGTCCCAAAATATGGCCCTGATTGCTGCATAAGCTGTCATAACAGTAGGTTTCGGCTGCATATTTGACGAATTTTACCCAAAGATAGAGCATATTCCCGCATATTATATACATAAACGTCTTTCGATTATGAGCGGTTAATTTTTTTTAACTACTAGCAGCTCATCGGCTCTTTTGTCTCCTAAATGATTGCCTAGCAACCGTTGGAATAGTTAGAGTGAAATTTATCTAACCTATCATACTGCCACTTCAATAAACTTTAAGAGCAGGAGGCTAGTCACGATACGAACGATGGTATAATTGAAAGCGCACTCCACCAATAAGCTAAATAATTTGGACGCTGAACAATAATGTCATGTCTGATTAATGATTGATGAATGTATCTTTAAAACTTTGCTGAAAACTATTTTCTGTACATGGTCACGCTTTCGAATGCAAGGGTTCATCGTGTGCTTGTGGTTTTCGTATCATAAGTATACCTTGTTCTCTCTACTCAGCTTGAAGGCGCGCACCCACGGTGGAACCGCGTACGGCGCTTGTTCAACTGGGGTCAACATCAAACGGCGCGGTTTCCATTCAAGTGGCGGACACGAGCGATACACACGGAAGTGTGTCACAGGATTGGCCGTCGGCGCTAGATCTGGATCCATCATCTTACGGACCTTGTCTACTACCTGCAAATTATACCACAATATTATGCATACAAATATGTTGATAATAACCCACATAGTGCAAAGGTGTTCGCCTGCTGGAATAAACAATTGCTGACCAGTTGATACATCTAAAAAGAAATGCCTAACAAAACGAAACAAAGAACCGGCAGAGCACGTGGGACCAGAAAGTATCATGGCATCGCAACTATTTCGCGAGTTTTTTAAGGGATGACACTTACCTGTGAGGGTCTTCGAAGAGGCGTCATATAGGTGTGAATAAGCTTCGCTGTTTCTAAGGGGCAGGTATGCCCAATGTCGGGATAGAACCTCTCCAGTCCCATCGCAATCAATCTAAAATGTATAACGATAAAACGTAAACGCTATTCCCGGTCGAGTAAACTGTTTACCTACTTACAGAGTTTCATAATTAAAATCAGTGATAACGAACCACAGCACATCATTATGCTGACCTATTTTTTAGAAGATTTTTTTACTCAGGTTTAGCATTGAGAAGAAAATATTTCGATTCTAATGGATTCGACACGAAACCGAGAAATGCTGCACTTGAGTTACGGGGCTTTATTTGTTCTAGCAACGTCTTATTAGAGTTCATTTAACACGCTTAGGTAAAGTAATCACACGTTTATCTATATGTTTGATGTTCATTGGTTGTACACCACTGCACAGAATTTTTAGCCATTTGCAGTGATCACAGGTAAGTGTTAAACCGCATGGTGGGCAAGAACTTACTGGTCTTCTGATTTACTATACGATTTCAGTGTCGGAGCATAATCCTCAAGGTCCGACACTAACTGCACTCTTGGCAGAATTTCTGGAAAGCAGAACACGTTTGACCAGGCGATCATTTTTCGAAGAGAAGATGGAATAGGTCTCCGAGCTACAGCTGTCTTGCGGCTAGCAGCTCGGTCGTCCTGATGACCTAAACTCACGTTCTCCGAAGTTGCAACGCTTTCGGTTAGGGGAACGCTGAAGGCAAACAAAGTGCGGAGTATTATAAAACGCAGATAATTAGATAACTACCATGTTTGGTAGGTAAACTTGCACTGATGTGGGCTTTTTTTGCATTGCAACTGATGTTGGCAAGAAAGAAACAGCTGTCCCAGATAGGTTGCACTTACAATTCTGGATGAACGTTGTGTTCGTCTAGTTGAGCTCGAACCTTCTCAATCATTTGTAGACCAGGTCGAAGATTAAAAGGCTCGAAAATGGGGTTGAGTTGTACACGAGACAACTGTGCAAGAGCCTCCAGTGTCTTTTGATTTGAGTCGCCATATACCTGGAGGTGCGGATGTGCTGCGGAGAGCATTCCTAGCTGAGTAGCTAATTGTACATACATCTGTTAACACAGACAGACGACAGAATCACACCCTGTATGTATAGTACTAATTAATGCATTCAATTACTCAATATTATTTATTCTAAAATAGGTAAAAGGGCTTAGTAAATGATTAAATTTATAAACCCCTTTTACCTATAGTTATAGCTTTTATTCAGCAGGTTACAACAGGTACCGATAACAAGGAGCTGACGAATGGTGGAATTTCATCGGTTGGTAATACAGACGTATTGTATTATTGATCTAACTAATATACCTTTGGTATATATACAAAAATCATTCAGCAGAACTGCAGACCTTTAACGATTTGGATGTGTCTAAGTCCTGTCGCAGGACAGACGTTAAACTCTGTGTCCGCACATACCACACTTTATCGGTTCTGTATGTAAAACGTGAAAAAGTGTTGTCTTAAAATTTTCGAATGTAGAATTGCCTTATTCGCTTACCTTTACTTGCTCCCTGAGTCGTTCAACCATTTCCGAGCTAAAGCCAATGATATTTGGATTTTTACTGATATTCCTATGGTAGGTAAAGCGCTTTTCTACAGATCGTATCATGTCCCACAATTCCTGAAAAAAAAAGCAAAACACAGAATAATAACGGACAATGACAGTTTCCCATATTTTTCATTATTCCCAGTGGAATAATTCTCAAATGCTTCTAACTCCAAGGATTAAAAAAATTTTTGAAATCTTGATAAAATCTGTGTGGAAATTACAATAGGGCAATGGTGGTATCTTGCAGATATATTTGGTATGGACAACAGTCGAAAGCCGAAAAGGGTCATCGGAAATTTCTAGCAAGAGACGTATGCAAGTACATGAATAAAATCGAGTCGAGTATATACTTCAAATTGCATTAGCTGCATCGCTACAGATATTATCAGTATGTCAATGTTACTTACATCGGACATTTCGTACGTTACGCCTTCATTTTTTGCAAGTAGATCATCTTCTGATGGCATCTCGATGGGAGTTTGATAAAGGGCGTTGTCTCGATAGATGATCTGGACAGCCGGATTAGAGTCTGGCAGAGAGGCTGCAATAAGCCGACGAGCCTCATCCATTTCATCATTTACTACGCCTGTATTACCAACCGATGAAATTCCACCACTCGTCGGTTTAAACTCCTTGTTATCGGTACCTGTTGTAACCTGCTGAATAAAAGCCATAACTATTGTGAATAAAGGGTTGTTTTCAAATCCTGAAGTAAACCATTTTATACCTCGACTCGTTTAAGTAACAGAAGGTTTCCCCTATTTTATGACAATCTGAATAAATTCCAAGTACATGCATTAAAGACATCGTAACACTTACAAGAGGGATATGTGATGATTTACTATTTTCATTAAGAAAGTCTTCCTGTGGTGAAGATTTGCTTTTGCTGGTTTGTTGATTAACGTTGAAAGTAGCAGACTGAGAATCCGATTGCCCTGAAGCCTTTTCCAGATCCACAAAAAGATCTCTGGTTTGCCCTATCGCTTTTTGATCGGTCGAGACGTAGTTCATGGCGCTTTCACCTCGCCCCGTTGTCACTGTAGTCATTGTCATCGAAGTCGCATCATTTTGGTATACCGAACTCCCCACCGGCTCTTGCATCTGTTGTTGGACCTCGACGCAAATTTCCTGTGGGGGATCTGACCCCTGCTGAACTGCAAAGAGAACGTATAAACGTCTATTAAACAAAATCGTTTCTCCCAGATTTTAAAAATACAAACGAAACACTAGAAGTTGAAGAAATCAAATTCTTATTATTTGAAGACATGTTTCAGCTTCGGAATTTCCCATCATCAGGTTATCTGAGAATCGAACGAATAGGCAAATCTCTAGTTCTGTAAGAAGAAGTTCTTACTTATAATTTTCATAGGTGAATTTATTTGTCCTTGCGAAGGTGAATTCAGCGCCATAGAAAGTGCGTAACTTAGTACATCCTGTTGACGAAGCGGTGTTTGAGCAGTATGCCTTAGTTGCCCGTCAGGGGTAGTGACAGAAGATGGCTGATTACGCCGACCGACCGCTATGGCTGTCGGCACTTTCACCTCCACGTTTGGTTCACTGCTCCTCACCGTTGAAGTCAAGTATTGTAGTTCTGCCTGGTGGCCAGAAGTTTCAGCTGTTAAGCTTGCTGAAGGTTGAATTATGACCGCAGTATGATTCGAAGGTGGTTGAACAGATGCCGGTATCAGGCACGCCTGCGTGCTTTGCAGAGGCACGGTTGACTCATAGGACACCCGACGGCAAGGTTGAACTGCCGAAGGATTTGCTGTTGGCCCAATTGGCGAGCAGGATCTGTTAGAGGTAAGTCCACTGAAAGCAGTTCCTGGATCCATCATTCCAGTAGTGGCATTTGTAGATGTCGGCCCAGAATCGCTGAACAGCGGTGGCGTTGGACTAGAAAGATTTGAAAAAAGCAAATGCATGTGACTGCAAGTATACGTAACACATTACGCTTGTGATGACTGCTTTCATTTTACGGAGCGTAGAATCGAAAACATCTCATTTCCTTGGCTTATTGTTGTAAGACATATTTTTTGTTAGTTATGCTACCTTAGGAGAAGGCAAAACCGACAGAATCACGTTGTCTTATGTCATCATAGATTACATAGTGTGTGTAACGATTGAGCAAATCATGTGCATGCGGATTTGTATACATAATATTGTGGAGTTAGATGTCAACTGGACTCTTTCGAAAAAGTTAGCTGTAGTTTTAGATATTTTACCGGTACGCTATTGAACAACAGGATGTCAAAGTATGGAACCTACATCCTACTATTATTTAGGATCGTGTCTTCGTCTTCGGTCTCTTCATTTGCGTGAGGTGCTCCATCAACGGCTGAAGGAATATTCCATAATTCACTGACGAGTTCATTAAGCTCTGTTTTTGAAATTTTTGTGGCCCGATCGAAGCGAAGATCGAATTCGTCCACCTCTTCGTTGTCTTCAAGAACATTATATGGCGGATCCTCCTCTTCTTCGTCCTCATCACGAATACCTCCCCGAGGCTACGGCATTAAAGAAAAATGATTAATTAAAGCAGAACTGCAGAAGGTGATGTCACAATACCTAATTTTATATAGAGTTATTCTTATAAACAAGACTTCATCATTTATGAATTTAAAAAGAGGAAGATACTTAAACACGTTGTGATTCTGGATAAAATCTCTTCCTTGTTGCTGACAGTTCAAATATTGGCTGTCTCTAAATAATAATTTTCGTTTGCTTACGTAACCAAATATTGTACAGCGAATTTCACCTGCATAAGTTCTCTGAGAAACTTGTTCCAGTCATCGTCATAGTCGCAATCCGTATCGTACATATCAGCTGTAATATCTGGTGCGATAAAATTGGCCTCTAATTGTTCTACATCTTCTGTTGTTAAGGGAAGTTTTGAACGCGTGCGAAGAGCGATCGTCTCCTTTTGATACAACGAACATGTAAATGTTCCATTGCAACTGTTAGTCACTGCATTAACGTGTGATTGGAGAAAACTGGCACATTACTTTCCGAATCTGTGAACGACATACGCCTGATGTAGACTTGTGCCATACAAATCGAATACGTTAAAACAGCAGAGAAGCCTGCCGATTGTCGCGGTGTTATAATAATTAAGTCTGTCTACCTAAACTACAATAAAATTAAGTAAATAGAAATGCACTTAACAAGTCAAGCTCAATCTCATTACAACAACTTATTGTATTTGAAGAAGCACACGGAAACGTTATCAGCTCGCAATGCTACACATTTACGTACATATAAGATAATCAAAGATAAAAAAAACTACTGGAGAATGTATGCACTTCACTTACCGAATGATCCGCAAAGACATTATGACAAGGACTCGAATGCGCCGGACTTCCAACCGCACTGAGCGTTGGAGAACGCGGACCTGCAGTAACTGGAGAGTTTAGCAGCGACGTGGACGTTTCACTATCATCCTCACTCTTAAAGGAAATAATACAGAACACCAGACAGAATATTACTAGACGTATAAATATTGATTACAATACCGCTTGCTTTTTAATTCTCTAAAGGTATGCATTGTATGTCTTCAAACCTGATAATGCCTAAGAAGCTATAGCCAAAAATATTCTTTATTTTTACATTCGCTTGTGATGAATGAAAATTAGGTGCAGATATATATATCCACATCTGACTGGCATCACTACAGTGGCTGCCGTTACATATATCTACAAAAGAACAATAATCGTCATCATTCGCGATGTACATTGTTAACTAAGCACAAATAAAGATAAAATATTATTATTATTATTATTTATTACCAGCTCCTCATCACTGGGGGGCTGATACTCTTCGTCATCATTATCCTCATCCTCAGCGATATCGTCCTTGAGCAGTTTCATGAGGTCCCCTTTGTCCAATGTGCCAACTCCCGTTTGTGGATACCTACGCAATTAATAGTAAATTAGCCCACAGTAGAGAATCTAACATACCCTCTATTTCGTCAAGGTAAATTAATTCTACCATTAATACACCTAAGTTAACGGCTCGACAAAATAATGATAATGTTAAAAAATGAATAGGTATACTGCTACGACTATTGAAAAACTGACTCTTTCTGAGTCTTTCGAATAAAACATCGTCATTTCGTTCATTCAAGAACCCTGTCATTAACTATTTCCGGTATGGGTCCTACAAATATTTTCTCTTTCCTCTTCCCTACCTCTTCACTGTAACTGCTTCTCGACCTTACACATCTTATCTAATATTAATTAACTCGCCTACATTTCCCTTAATAGTGTCATTATCGTTACTATTTCTCTCATTGTATGCTTACCTTTATGTATTTTTCTCATATATTCTTTTGTTAAGCTCCTACGGTTACATTAGTTATCGATACCCGCCTAATTTGAAACATCTCAAATGAATTCGACCGCTTAACTTACTTGCGGTACCAACATCATGAAAAAATTATGTTTCGAATTAAATGAAGCATATGGTCAACGTAAACCTGTGCATGAGAGATTCTTCCATTTCGGGATATTTGGCACGCAGTTCTCGAAGTTTGGCCCGGGTAATTTTCGGTTCAAAGGGAAGCTCATTGTCTCCATCAGAGGTCTGGTCAACACCTGACATCGATCGTTTACACATAGCCACCACGTGTTCGTTTGTAACGATTCGCTGAAAGACAAACGATTTATGTACTCCTGTTGTAAGCGGCTTTAAATTTTTTACCTAATATTCACAAGCACATCGAAAGCACAAACCTTGGCCTAACTATACCATGGAAAATATCATGATCAAAATATTTAACCAACTTGTCGCAATATATGCTGCGAAATTCTTCGTATGAGTGTTCACAGGTACTTTTGATGCGTTTGTTATTTACCTTAAGAATACTTTTGACATTTGCAACAGTTAGATTATTTCTCTCGGCGGTATCCTCCAAGAAAATATCGATATCCTGACGTTCTGCCTGGGCCATTTCTAATTCTACCTCTGTACCCAATTGCGTGGACCTCGAGGCTGTCCTGGTGGAAGTGCTCCGTGTGGCAGGTGCGGTATTTTCCATCGGGAGTCCTCGATTACGCTTATCTGCTGGTGGTACATCGTCTCCTGCAGAAGGGTAATACACACTCGGTTATTAGCTGAACTGAATAGCTTTTGGTCTTCGAAATACACAAACAAAAAGCTTCTTTAACATTTAATCAAAAGATATCACGTCATTCGTTACAAGTTTTATAAATCAAATAATGTTCCTACCGTTTTGAGAATAAAGTAGAATCTCTTTTTCGTATATAGGAAACGAAGTTTCACAAATGTAAAAAAAAATGTGTAAAATATATGGATTACACGTTCCATCTGACTTTAAATACATTCTGTGCTTCAATGCGAGATATTTTATTTTCGGTTGTACAGACAACCACGTAAATTGTTTTGTCTAAAACAGCATATTCTATTTGAATACCTTACAACCCAAGTGCAATTATTCAAATAACCTTCTAAAGCTGGAATAAAGTGGCCCTGGCTATCATGTTCAGTTACTAGTCTACTAGCGCAACAACAGTTTCGTCATAGTGAATGCGCTTGACATATGCCCGCGGTTAGAATCATGTATCTTTTTATTACGCCGATTCTTAACGTACCCTCAATCTTCGCAGCATATTTTCAGCTTACTTACTGCTTTTGCGTTTCCTAGATGTCTTAATAGATGACTTCTTGACTGTAGAAGACTGTCTTCCTCCTATCATTTGGGAAAATGGTCGAGTAAGCACATCGTTATGTTGATTATTGTTGTGACTGTCGTGAGTGCATTAACGAGCCAAATAACGACAGTGGGCAAATTTAAACCAATGATAACTCATTATAACAAGTAGCGTTTACATACCAATAGGTAACAGAACGATTTATTGCGTTTAATGCGTTTAGTTGTTTCTAACTTGTGGTAATTTGAACTGGGGGCTTCAAAGGATTTTATATAGGATACATTAACCGTTGTTATTCGATTTCAAAATATTGTCTCATTATTGAGAAGACAGATGAATCACTGAAGATGCGATTACTTCACTTTAGTTGGTACACGCAATTCCCACTATATCCTACAGACTCAAATCATTCCCTAAACGTCCGTCAACTTAAGTTGAGTTTAAATAAATCTTAGTACACCGAGTTGGGCATAAAATTTGTATCAAAAATATATTTATTTTAATATATTTCCTCAACAGATATCTTCACGATCCGTTGTTAATATTGGCAAAGAATATGGACATCCTCGCTTATGTGCCTGAGCAAGATCGAAGCAAAGGACCTTTTCCACCTGAGTCCTTGTCGTTCCGACGCAGATCGTCCACAATGAACAGCTGATCGGGTTCATCCTCATTTTGAATTAAGGGTCGGCCCGACATCGTCACACCGATCTAGGAACCACATCATCCAATAGTCACCATTGAAATGTGCGCACTGGATTGCTTTATTTGGCTCTTACACAAGAGCTTCTGCGGACGCATCATTCGATCTCGGCCACTGATAAAAACACCGTGCGATGCGACTGGTCGCTAAGTAAACAAACGTTCGGTGTTAAAGGAAATAATTCGATTATTTTTTGCAGATTAAATTAAACATGCTGCTGTCGTCAGCGCTGCAAATCAGTTCTGACAAATTAGCGTTTGAACTGGGAAGGTTTCAAATGGTAAATAACTGTATGCTGTTAGCAGGTTGAATTTCGCGCCACAATGGCGTCTGTGAGTGTTTTGAGCATCACAACGACATATCCGGTTTCCTAAGCACGTGCGGATCCTCTTTTTGCATGCGGCCGAGTCGTGGTCAGCCGTTTGTTTGTGGGAAATTTTGCGCGTTGTCGATAAAAAATGTTAGTACTTTTTGAATCGCCAGCCGGCTATGCCGTCTTCAAGGTAAGAGTACCCTGACTAAATACATGTGACGTTGTAGGAAGTCATAGACTGCCAGAATAACTTTTATGCAAAACTTCACTTGACTTTGACTGCGCACGTGCTGTTTTAAAAAACGTCGAGCCGTATGACAATCCGTTATTGGCAAAAGCTGTTTGTTCATATCTGTTATACGGTACGTGATATGCTCAAACAAGCAAAATCAAACGAATTCTGCTTATTTAGATTAAAAGATCAAAATCTGAGTTGTTGTGATGCGACTTGGAACATTTCCGGACAATCGTTGAAGGCTCCTGTTCCGTTGATAGGTTCTCGACGAGAAAAAAGTTCAGAAGACCGATAACTTATTCAAGGAGTTTGAAGATGCATCCGGTGCTGCCAAGATTCTCAAACTCAAGCATTTCCAGAAGTTTCAAGACATGACTCAGGCTTTAAGTGCCGCCACGGCGGCCATCGAAGGCAAATTGTGCAAGCCTCTCAAAAAAGTTAGTTGCATTTTTTGACCTGTTCCGTTTATATTTACATCCAGTATTGAAACTTTTTGCGTT